TTTCGGAACGTATCTCGTTTGCCCAGTTAGCGCGGTTCGATTGGCATATCTGAACAGGGCAATCGCGCTCTGTTCCGTGCCAAAGTAATCACTCCGAGATCGCTTGAATGAGGTGGTCTCGGCTCGATTGAAAGGAACCCTGGAGCGGTTCGATTGTAGTGAGAAAGCGATCCGATCCGAGCGCGGTTGTATCACTGTGTTTTATGGATATGTAATAGGCATATACGGCTATATGAAGAGAGAATTATGAGTAGGGCGGGAAGTTTCGCGAGTCTCCGGATGCCCGCAAACGAGTGAAGATCTCCCGGTAATCTCGCGTCTCCCTCCAGGTCCTCAAATAGGCATCGTCGCGCACCCTTCTCACCCCTCCCCACTGCGTCTCTCCTCAGACACGTCGCTCGGGCGCACCCTGTCAATCACCACCAAACCACCACCTCTCCTGACAGTTTAGCGGGACGCTGCAAAATAAACCCTGACACTCTGACCAATGTAAGGAGAGTTTACTCGCACGTGACTTGATTTAGCTCTTTTGGTCCGATTAGAAACTTTGCAGTGTGAAAGCGAACCGCTCCAAGAGCAAAGAGCAACAATGTAACAATTGTAACATGTAACAATTGTAATCTCTGTTTCGGAACAACTGAATCGATTCACAGGTGTGAAAGCACCCTTAGTCTCAATTAGGTTGGGTCACATCCAGTCAGATGCATTTTTGAGGGGAGTGGAGCACACAAGGAGATCTGAACATGCCTTTATCAGGTGGTTTTTAACTCAACAGTGTTTAAATGGACTGTGTTGACACTCTTACTGACACTTAATTCACAACAATAGGATAAAAAAACATTGCAGATATTAATTGATCTTCTTTAAAGCACACAGAGTAATTATTTAATCTATCGCATAAATGTAAAAAAAGTGTAGATAGAGCTATATATGGACTGTAGTGACCCAGTCATGACTAAAAGCATGTAATGTTGTCTTGCTGTTTTCTGAATGACTTACGGTTGATTTTGTTTCCATTAATTTTCTTTCAGGAATCAGCTGATAGTGATGATGAAAGTAAGTTCTTTGTCTTTTCTAGCTTTTACTTTCAGCGGCATCACTGTTTTACTTTTCAACCCTCCCACATTATTGACATAAATAACTATTTTGTGAAAGACTGTATGATCAGCATATTCACGATTCTAAAACGACATCAAAGTTAGTAAAACCTTGACTTTTCAAAATGCGGTAAACCCTAAAAAGGGTCTAGCACATATACTACATTTTTGATCACATTCACTAGCAGATATTCAGGAAACCAGCACTTTTGCCTTTGATATTACTTTATTAGCTTTGTCTTAAAGAAACACCATTCATTTCTGTTTTGTAGGGTCATTCTAACAGGCTTCACCACACTGTCAATCTGCTTGTTAAGTGGTGACGTGTTTGTGACGTATGTATTACTGTTTCCGGGTCCAAGCCGCCATTCATTTGAGTGGAGAAATCATTCGTTTATGATCACTTTTTATTCCTATCACACATGAAAGTTAATTTTACATAAAGTCATAGTGTACACGACAATCTCTGGGCTTGCTGCATAATAAATACCTAAATTTTAACAATTTATAAAACAATGAATCACTTTCTGGCCATCAGATGTTAGGCATGGACATATATATTGCGATCGTGACTTTCGAAAGTATTAAAGAGAAACTTTCGAGAAAAATAGAATTCGCTTTGTAAACGTTTATTATTACCATTTCATGAATTTCCCCATTCAGTTGAATAGAGCGCTTGGACCCGGAAGCCGCTCTGCGTGACGTCACACTTAACAAGCGGATACGTTTATACTCAAGTGTTTTGTTGTTTTGCTAGTAAGATATTTGATAATGCCATATCACGCTTCCTTAACCAGTTAAGCTCTGGGGCTATTTGTGGTAATTCCACCTGAATTTGGCCTTCCGATTTAGAAAGCTTCCCATGCCCACATGCAGAGGTGTAAATACAAAAGTTTGGTATCATTTGAAAGGAAACCCTTTGAAATTTCAGAAAGTACAGTTGAAATTGAAAACAATTGTTGTATATTGTCTGTGTTATAATAAACACACACAAAAAAGTGCTTTTTTTATTTTATTTTTTTATAAACTGAAGTTTGGAAATGTACAACTCAGCCCTTGAGAGCTCCAGCACCCTGGAAACAATTTTATTTCTTTCCAGCAGTCAGCAAAGACAGGAAAAAAAAAGTTTTTTCTTTATAATAGTCTATGTAGGAGTTAATCTATTCCAACTGCCTTTTTTTTTATTTCCGCCTACCTATTTTTGAAGTCTCCCCATACCCTCATACAGTACAATAAATGCAATATCTCAATGTCATTTTACAGAAAACCCTTTGAAATTACGAAAAAAACTGCTGAAAGTGATAAATATTAATATATATGTTGTCTGTCCTATGATGAACCCCCTCGACACAAACCGCTTTGAGTTTTTTTGTTCTAAAGCCTGATTAAGAAAGTGGCCCTGTATGCTCCATCAAACTGCAGATTGTTTTGATTGTTACCAGCATTTGTCAGGAGACACTAGAAAAAAAAAGAATTTAGTTTTTATCTCGTAGTATGCAATAATTATGTTAGTTCAACCGAAGGGTGGGAAATCACAATTTTTTTGCGTCTGATCTGTGACTTTTATGCACTGTTTTTTGGACACCTCTCTTACCGTTTGTCATGTAACATCTCAGTCACTGATTGGCTGATGAATGCTCGCGATACTTAAGCGTAAAGCCGAGAATCTCACCTTTCCAATGATACATAATCCATCTGGATAGGTCAAAGCTATCATATTTTCCGGAATTTTGAAATATCATGACCCACACTGGTTAAAACAACAATAAAAATATTATCATAGACCAGAATTATTGCACACCCCTATCCACTATTTCACTTTTCTGAACACGAAAGGTAAACATCAAAGTGATTTAGAATACTGTTAAAAAAGAAACAGCAGTACTACTGAAAGTGTGAGAACTCTTCATTTACTGCAAGCACCTCAGTATATTATAGACCATTTTGAGGGATGTAGACAAACACAATGGTCCCAACGTATTTCCTGTTTTACACGTTTAATTTCTACAGCTTCCGAGAAACCAAAAAGAACCACATATTGATTAATAACGTTATGATAGCTGTTTTTGGTCCCACTTTATATTAAGTGTCCCTACTTACTGTGTTTATAATGTATTTGAGAACACTTGTGGTGCTTTTGAGTTGGGATAGAGGTTGGGTTATGGACAGGTTTGGTGGCATGGGTAGGTTTAAGGGAGGGTTAAGGTGTAAGTCAGGGGTCTCAAACTCGCGGCCCGCAGGCCATTCGCGGCCTCTGCAATATTTTGTGGCCCGCGCCGACCGCTGTACACTGACAGAATCAGCGGAGCGGGGAGAGAGAGCGCTCCCCGCTCCGCTGATTCTATCCATACACAGCGGTCACTGGCATTCCCCGCCCGCCATGTAAACAAAGGGGCGGGGATGCTGGTGACGTCACCACGCACCCCGCTCCTTTGTTAGACCCTGTGACGGGCGGGAAGTGTTAGGAGGGAACTCGCGCCGGCCAGAACCAAGGTAAACTGTTCCCGCCCCTGCCTGCCACTTAGCTACCTATCTGCAGCCTGCCACCTACCTAGCTACAGCCTGCATCTTATATATATTATAGGTAGATACAGACTGGTACAGACTGATGTGACTGGAGTGGGGTGGGGGTGTTTTATTTATACATATATACGCCTTTTTTTTAGGTGAGGGAATGGAAGTTTTGAGTGAGTTCCCCCACTTTTTTCTGTGTGAGAAGTTATTCTCCACCTTGAACTTCAATAAGTCAAAGTACAGGTCTAGACTTAATGATGATCATCTTCAAGACATACTGAGGGTCTCTGGTGTAAGGGATGGTCAACAGTGTATTTACAAATGTAATTACCGAAGTTAATTAAAGATGTAATTACATACATGTATTTAATCAAGCATAAGTACACAGCAAATACATGTATTTACACAGTAAGTACATTGTAACAAACTATTAATTTCTATGTAAGTACATATTAGTTAAGGCCACTTAATATAAAGTGGGACCCTGTTTTTAACAGTAAGTTTTAATTGAATTGTTACAGTTCTGAAATCGTTTGATAACAAGCAGGAAATGTTTACGGGCCAATGACATCACCACATTGAACTGGTATATAGCATAGGGTTTATGTCTAAAATATTGTTTTGCTCCTGTTCTTCTTCAGAAATGCCAGATCTGGAATAAGCAACTGGCAAGCTGTGGACAGACAGAGGAGGAAGGGATGAAATACTAAGAAGAGAGGAAGCCGTCACCTGAATATGGTACATGATCTGAAAGAGGGCAAAAGCTGAATTGATTGAGATCCGTGGATTGTCAAGCGTCACCTCTGTCCGCTCAGTGACTGCGCTCCAGACGATCGACATAACCCTCTGTTGGGAGTTAATATGCATATTGTTGTACAGAGCTTCATTGTCCCTCTCCTTATGAGCAGTCTTGGCTTTTTTTGTTTTGTTTTGTTTTAATATGTTCTAAAACATGATGTATACTTTGGAAAAAACTGCACTGTATTCGTATTTTTTCAACTGAAAAAGCAATAGATGTGACGACGTTTCTTTTTTATCGTAAGGTATTGAAATTAAAAACAAAACCAACTTCACGGAGGTGGAGAGAGTTTGTGTCCTGTGAAATCGCTGTAGTTTACAACCTCGTGAATTAAGTGTTTGGATTCTGGAAACCCCAAGTATGAGTTTTTAGACAAAAAAAAAATCACTCCTCGTCTCAATGTTAGCCCTCGAGTCTCTTTAAAGGGTTAGTTCACGCTAAAATGACAATTCTGTAATTTAATCTTACTCATATGGTTTTAAACTGCTGAAAATATTGAATATCGGTAGAAAGCAGGCATGGATATCGAGCGTTTTACAGAATATCTTGTTTTGTGTTCAATAGAATAAAGAAAATCACGTTTGGAACTATATGAGTGGAGTAAATGAGGACATTTACATTTTTGGGTGAACTATTCCTTTAAAAGTGGGACTAGATTTCTGTTGGTGATTGAAATTTTCAGTAGACTCCAATCAAAGTGATGTCTAGTCCCGTGTGTCTCATCCACGTTCCTGGAGGACCACCGACACTACATGTTTTGGATGTCTTTTATGTCACTCTTATTACAGGTCTTTCAGTCTTTGCTAATAAGATGATGATCTGAATCAGGTGTGTTTGGTTAAGACCACCTCCAGGATCATGGTTGACAAACACTGCTCTAGTCAATATTGGCACTGTATTTGGCACTGGACGCTGTCTTTCATTTTATGACTGCAGTGTTGATGTCTTTAAATGTAAAAGATGAGATAATAGAATGATATAGTATGTTTTCAAACAAGTCTAAAGCAAAAACAAAAAGACCAAATAAGTTTGCACTATCAACATTTTCTTTTTTAGACAGGAATACGTTGTGTGCACATTGTTGATGGACTATCAATGTTTTCAAAAGCAAAAAGATTAAAGCTTTCAACTTTGTCTACATATTTCTAATAAACTGCCCATTGCTTACCTTTTCATGTTCTTTGTAAAATAGTTAAGAGATATACAAAATTGAAAACCATGAGAGTGAGAAAAGTGAGAGTGGTTGAGGCTACACGAAAGATCGGGGCATGGCAGATACTGAAAAGTTTCTGATTGGTCAACAGACTTCAGATGTGATTAGACTCACCTGGCCTCAAGTAAAATTCAGTGGCATAACTTTTATTGGACAATGATATAAAACAGCAAGAGCCAAACGATGTTTTTACTTGTCGAAGCCATATTTTCACAGTCTACCCAAGTATCACCATATTGTAGTTTTTTTAAGTAGTTTACGCTACGTAAGATCACGGAGGAGGCGCTATAATTGTAGGTTCATCAAGTGCACGCGCTTGGCTTGTGACGACACGGGGGTACATCACACCTAGCATCCTATTGTACCGTGATAAATAAGTAGATATGTGCCCACCTATTTAAAACAATCTATTCTGGATTGTAGTTGTCATTTATATATTTCGTATGTCGAATGAATCTACACCTATCGTTAGCGGACCATCACTTCCTACAGCCGCATTCTGGCTGAGCATCCATTCCTCTCCAGTGACTCCAGACTCAGGCGGAGCTCGCGTGTCCTAAAGCCCGACGGGTTTCGGGCGGGTAAACTCTACACTGCTAGTGAGACAAAAGATGCAGCACTTACCACCGCGTTGAAGGAACTTACTCCTAAAAATTTCGCATCAAAATCTTGCTTTTCGTATTTAAAAAAGTAACTAAATGTGTTAGCTAGTTACTTTTGAGTGCTGTTTGGGATGTTTTCATCCACTCTGAGGTGATTTTCATTCTTAATTTGTCCACAACCTTCTCTGTGTTTCAGCAAATATGTTTTTTTTGTTTGTTTGTTTTTTGGTGACATCTCATTTGACACATATTTTAGGAAAATACTTTGAACATTTAAAAAAATTCAATTCACACTGTTTTATTTAAAGCACTTTATTGTAAAATTAATAATGAAATTCTAAACACTTTACATTTGTTTAATATGTTTGTCAGTTGGCCAAGCTCAAAATAAGTCTAACATTTAATGTAAAAATCAAAATATAAGTTTAAAAATGGCAGCTGTAGTCAAGTGGTACTCACTGCAGAGCCACTTAGGCAGAGCTGAGCTCCAGCAAGGGGGAGCTAGAGCTCCAGCTCCTCCTTCCTTGCACTTCTTCAAGTGACGTCACTAGGGGGTTGGGGTTAGAGGTGGGGTGGGCGTACGCATTAAAACAGCTTATTAACCTTATTCTAAAATGTGGAAGTGCGCCTGTATTCGCGGTTGTTTTAGAACTTCCGATTCAGTCGCCTATGGGAGAAAGGACTAGGAATAATAAACGGCAGAAAACGGTCAAACTACTTGCTCTACAAACAAATGTTTGCATGACTATACAGACCAAGTAGAAGAATATAATAAGAAAATATCAGTTTGCAACATCAAACAGCAAAAGCAGTTTTTAATGTCTAAAAATAAATAGAAGTGAATGAGACCGGATTCTCTAGCCAAAAACATTTAAATGGCTGCACTCACTCGTTGGCGAAGAATAAGGTGGATAGGAGGAGGAGTTGGAGCTCAAGTTCCCCCTCATTGGAGCCCAAGTGGCTCTGCAGCGAGCAGCGTCTCGCTGTAGTTGCTGGAATTTGGGCATTCGGCTGCATATGCCAGTAATTGGTGATCAGTCTGCTGTGATCGTGTATTAAAAATAATTTAACATAAAATGTGAATACTAATGACATACTAACAAAATAATCGTACTAGAAACATACTAATGACATACTAACATAATCATACTACAAACATACTAACGACATACTAACATAATAATCATAGTGCAAATATACTAACATAAAAATCATAGTAGAAACATACTAACGACATATTAACATAATGATCACACTACAAACATACTAACGACATGCATAATAATCATACTACAAACATACTAACGACATACCAGCATAATAATCATACTACAAACATACTAACGACATACTAACATAATAAACATGCTACAAACATACTAACGGCATACTAACATAATAAACATACTACAAACATACTAACATAATCATAGTAGAAACATACTAACGGCATACTAACATAATAATCATACTACAAACATACTAACGACATACCAACATAATAATCATACAAGAAACATACTAACGACATACTAACATAATAATCATACTACAAACATACTAACGACATACATAATAAACATACTACAAACATACTAACATAATAATCATAGTAGAAACATACTAACATAATGATCCCACTACAAACATACTAACGACATACCAAAATAAAAATCATACTACAAACATACTAACGACATACCAACATAATAATCATACTAGAAACATACTAACGACATACCAACATAATAATCATACAAGAAACATACTAACGACATACTAACATAATAATCATACTACAAACATACTAACGACATACATAATAAACATACTACAAACATACTAACATAATAATCATAGTAGAAACATACTAACAACATACTAACATAATGATCCCACTACAAACATACTAACGACATACCAAAATAAAAATCATACTACAAACATACTAACGACATACTAACATAATAAACATACTACAAACATACTAACATAATCATAGTAGAAACATACTAACGGCATACTAACATAATAATCACACTACAAACATACACACGACATACCAACATAATAATCATACTACAAACATACTAACGACATACTAACATAATAATCATACTACAAACATACTAACGACATACCAAAATAAAAATCATACTACAAACATACTAACGACATACCAACATAATAATCATACTAGAAACATACTAACGACATACCAACATAATAATCATACAAGAAACATACTAACGACATACTAACATAATAATCATACTACAAACATACTAACGACATACATAATAAACATACTACAAACATACTAACATAATAATCATAGTAGAAACATACTAACAACATACTAACATAATGATCCCACTACAAACATACTAACGACATACCAAAATAAAAATCATACTATAAACATACTAACGACATACTAACATAATAAACATACTACAAACATACTAACATAATCATAGTAGAAACATACTAACGGCATACTAACATAATAATCACACTACAAACATACACACGACATACCAACATAATAATCATACTACAAACATACTAACGACATACCAACATAATAATCATACAAGAAACATACTAACGACATACTAACATAATAATCATACTACAAACATACTAACGACATACATAATAAACATACTACAAGCATACTAACATAATAATCATAGTAGAAACATACTAACGACATACTAACATAATGATCCCACTACAAACATACTAACGACATACCAAAATAAAAATCATACTACAAACATACTAACGACATACCAACATAATAATCATACTAGAAACATACTAACGACATACCAACATAATAATCATACTACAAACATACTAACGACATACCAACATAATAATCATACAAGAAACATACTAACGACATACTAACATAATAATCATACTACAAACATACTAACGACATACATAATAAACATACTACAAACATACTAATATAATAATCATAGTAGAAACATACAAACGACATACTAACATAATGATCACACTACAAACATACTAACGGCATACCAAAATAATAATCATACTACAAACATACTAACGACATACCAACATAATAATCATACTACAAACATACTAACGACTACTAACATAATAATCATACTACAAACATACTAATGACATACATAATTAACATACTATAAACATACTAACATAATATTCATAGTAGTAACATACTAACGACATACTGACATAATAATCATACTAGAAACATACTAACGACATACTAACATAATAATCATACTACAAACATACTAACGATATACATAATAATCATACTACAAACATACTAACGACATACTGACATAATAATCATACTAGAAACATACTAACGACATACTAACATAATAATCATACTACAAACATACTAACGACATACATAATAATCATACTACAAATATACTAACATAAAAATCATAGTAGAAACATACTAACGACATACCAACATAATAATCATACTACAAACATACTAACGACATACATAATAATCATACTACAAATATACTAACATAATAAACATAGTAGAAACATACTAACGACATACTAACATGATAATCATATTACACACATACTAACATAATAATCATAGTAGCAACATACTAACGACATACATAATGATCACACTACAAACATACTAACGACATACTAAGATAATAATTATACTACAAACATATTAACGACATACAAACATAATAATCATACTAGAAACATACTAACGACATACCACCATAATAATCATACTACAAACATACTAACATAATAATTATACTACAAACATACTAATGACATACTAAGATAATAATTGTACTAGAAACATTCTAACGACATACCAACATAATAATCATGCTACAAACATACTAACATAATATTCATAGTAGAAACATACTAATGATTTACTAACATAATATACTACAAACATACTAAGGACATACTATATAATAATCGTTCTAGAAACAAACTAATGACATTTTAACATAATAATCGTACTAGAAGCATACTTTCTAAACATTCTAGCATCATGCCAATTCATATTAAATAAATGCAAACAACATGCTAGTTTATACTATAAACACTCAGCAACCACTCAGAACACCTAAGCAACCGCCTAGCATGCCTTAACAACCAGTCAAAACACCCTAGCAACCACTCAGAACACCCTAGCAACCACAAGGCAACATCTTATCAAACACTTAGAACACCCTAGTATCACCTTAGCAACCACTCAGAAAACCTTATCAACTGCCTAGCAAGAAACGGCCGATCCATACAAGAAACATGCTAACATATATGTAGTTATGTCTCTATGCCAACTGTTTTCTCAACTGCTTTCCCAAGCCACCATAACGTCCTATTCACACACGGCTTCTGCATCAACGCTTGGCTGAAGGCATGTCTAAAGTTGGGGCTGAAGCGATCTTCATAGCAGCGTGAGCCAATGAAATTCAGTCAGCAATAGGCCACAGTCTAGCTAGTGTATTTGCATACAGCGATCTGATTGGCTGAGGCTTCCATCGGCGCTTGAAAACTTGAGCTAGTCCCAACTTCTGCAGCGAGCAACGCCTCTGAAGCGGAGCTTGAAATGATTATTTCAAAGTGAATGGGAAGCGTTGACGCTGACGCCCCATGTGAATGTGGCGTAAAGTTTGTCTATGAACTTTACTTTTCTGTTAATATGCTAATATTTTATGTTGATGTTTATTCAATTCAATTCATTCATTCATTTTCTTGTCGGCTTAGTCCCTTTATTAATCCAGGGTCGACACAGTGGAATGAACCGCCAACTTTTTACGCAGCGGATACCCTTCCAACTGCAACCCATCTCTGGAAAACATCCACACACACACACTATCTACAATTTAGCCCACCCAATTCACCTGTACCGCATGTCTTTGGACTGTGGGGGAAATCGAAGCACCCGGAGGAAACCCACGCGAACGCAAATAGAACATGCAAACTCCTCACTGAAACTGAGCGAGGTTCAAACCAGCGACCTTCTTGCTGTGAGGCGACAGCACTACCTACTGCGCCACTGTGTCCCCCCTCAATTAAATTCAATTCATCTTTATTTGTATAGCGCAGGGCTCAACAATAAGGACTGCCCAATGGCCCAGGGCCAGCATGAGAGATGCTCGGGACAGTAGACAGAATTATTACTGGCCCGATCAGGGCAGTGCTGCCTTGTCGCTAAATTTTAATAGACGGCAACATAACCACAACATCAAATTATGACGCTAAATGAAAACGTCAGCTTCTAATGTTGTGGAAACATTTACATGGGTACAACACGATGAAAAAAAATAAAGTAATGCTTTACTTAGTTTGCCGTCACTTTTAAGTCGGCCACCTTTTGTTTTGCAATAAAATACCTGCACATGTTCCACACTCTATATTTTACTGCTAAATATTTTAACATTTTTCAAATATTTAAATTCTAGATTCACAGACAATATTTTGTGACACATTATTTAAAAAATGTGGCTGAAAAAAAGCAATTAAATTGTTTTGTTTTTTTGGTGGGGCCCGTGAAAATGTTGGCAGGGCAAGTAAAAATCTGAGCCACTAGCCCAGTCGGCCCTGTAGGAAAAATCCTTAGCGTTGAACCCTGTAACGCTTTTACAATGTAGACTTTGTCAAAGCAGCTTCACATACAAGATCATAATAAATTAAAACAGTGTAGTTCAGTTTTCAGTGTTTAAGTTCAGTTTAGTTTAGCTCTGTTCAGTGTGGTTTAATAATCACTCCTGAGAGTCCAAACACTGAAGATCAAATTCATCGATGCGCAGCTCTACAAATCCCGAACCATGCAAGCCAGTGGCGACAGCAGCGAGGAAAAAACTTCACCAATTGGCGAAAGTGAAGAATTAAAAAACCTTGAGAGAAACCAGGCTCAATTGGGCACGACCATTTCTCCACTGGCCAAACGTATTGTGCAGAGCTGCAGTCTAGGCGCTGGAGGCTGGAGAATGCTGGACCTCAGTGAAGACTCATCTGACCCTGGAGCGTCACAGGAATCAGTATCATGCTCTCCACTCCTCCATGACCACCCCAGCAGCTGCTCAGGATACGGCCTGGTCCAAGATTATGGAAACCTTGGGATTGCCTTGTCGCTGGTCTTGGATTGAATCAGTGGCGCTGCATAGTCTGAGGGCCCTGGGATGTGTATCCCAAGGTGGAAATACAGAATAAAGAGAATGATTAGCGTAGCTGCTGTTCAAAGTGTATATAAACTAAATATAGAAACCTGAGTGGACACATTCATGCATCATACAGCTATGTATAGAGTGTATGCTTTACTAAAAAAAAGATTTTTAATCTAGTTTTGAACTGCAAGAGTGTGTCTGAGCCTCTGACATTATCAGGAAGGCTATTCCAGAGTTTAGGAGCCATAAATGAGAAGGCTCGACCTCCTTTACTCGACTTTGCTATTCTAGATACTACCAGAAGGCCTGAGTTTTGAGATCTTAAAGAGCGAGTTGGAGTTAATGTAAATTAATAATACAAAACGTGCACCTAATCTGGCACAAATTAGTGCCGAAATGTCCCTAAAATGCAGTGTTTAAACCTCAAAATTTAACACAAAATGAGGAGAATAACAGCAAAAACAATACATTTTTGAGCAAAAGTATCCCCTTCTTCTGTTTCTCAGTAAAATCCAACACAGCTTCTCAAACTTTTTTCCCAGAGGTGTATTGTAGTGTTTTCAGTGAGTGTGTGCGAGTGTGTGTGTGTCAGAGGTCAACGTCTCCTGTCATCTGCGCGATCGGCTCTTTTCATATGGCCGGCGCTGGGACCCGGGGGCGCGAGCGTGCGCGTCGTCTGGCCGTCATTCACTTCCTCTTTCGGCTCGCTCTCTTTCTCTCCTCTGTGATCATGGCTGCGCTCAAACATTACCAGCCATGTTTGCAAATCTGAAACCCAAAGGTTAGCGATTTACCCGTTTATTATTTACTTCGCTTACACCCTCTTCATCAACATTGGTCCTTTGCCGGGGGGCCACATCCTCTGTGTCCTGTGCGATCGACAGATATCAAGGTTGGGCAGTTTTATTATCATTATTCGGGGAAACTTTTGAGAGTGTGCTGTGTGGGTGATGCTGCCTCATTTTCTCTTAGCGTATATCAGGAAAATAACGCCAATTTATCAACCAAAGATGACCTTCTGAGACGAGGCGATCAAACGTCTTGTTTTGTTATCGCGTATCATAAAGCGAGCTTGAAAAACTTAAGCTAACGTTTAGCCGTGATGACTTGCAGATCACAAAGCCTCCAATATTTATATAATCAGCCCGTTTTATCTGTACGTTAAACGTCTTTAATTATTTAAATAACGCACTAACCCGTGCTTATGAAAATAGGAGATGCTGTTTTCATTTACACCGGCGAACACACGCCGTTGCGTTTATTTCGAGGACGATTTCATTCATACTCCGGAATATCGAATTAACATAAATGTTAATCGCGAATATTGTTTCAAAGCTCATAAACCGTCGCGAGGAATCGTTGTGATGCGGGATTGCAGGCCTCATTTTGTCATGGCATCACCACCGCTGTAAAACAAGCACTTTAATCAAACTTCCTATCAAAATATCATTTTATAAACACACACTTATGACTAGTTTCTCATTCTGAACATCACTTTTTAAAAGTGTCCCCATTACCTGTATTTCAGCTCGTGTGTTTTAATGCGCGATTGTGGCTTTATTTTTCTAGCAGCCGTCTTTTTTGTTTTCGTTTTAGTGTGTTTGGACGCATCTTATTTCTTTTTTCCTCATCATTTATGTATTAATATTATAATACAGCACTAACATTATATTAAAAACAACATCTGAAGCGAGATATGAGCTGGTTTACCTGCAAGTTGAGGAGTTTTAGTTTCATATAAGTTTAATAAAATGTGTGTGTATAAATATTTTTGTGTGTGCGTGTGTTGTGTGTGAGAGATGAGATCCAGAAGCAGCGCATGGTCATGTGCAGAGGTTAGCCTCCTTGCTAACCGATTCCCACATCTCCCTCATTTATTTATTCAAATTTCATAACACGTTGTCTAATTAAATATCACTCTTTATTTCTAATTTGTTTATTTTTAGCTACGTACGTCGGCTCTTCAGCCATTTCCGAACGAAATCTTGCCGTTTGGAGTTAAATGTTTACTGTTAGCAATGCGGCTAATGATAGACGCGCATATAAAAACAATTAGTGCTGGATTTGATCTAAATGCGCGAATCTACATAGTCATTTAGATATGCTTTCTTAAGAATGCCTGGAGTGGTTTATTTATGCACTAAGAGTGTAATTGTTGAGTTTAAAGCTGGTTTTCAGCATGAGATCTGTGTATGTGATGTGTGTTATTTAACGCGATTGCTCGGGCATCTCATCGGCTTTATCTGCGACATTTTATGTTGAGATGTGAAGAGCAATATTTGTGATGTCCGCCACAGCAGTGCTTACTGGCTGTGTCTCAAAATCGTGCACACCGGCTACCTGCACAGCGTTTCGGTGGTCATTGATGTTCGGTATGTGGCCGAAGATGCCGAAAAGCAATTAAGAGCGTTATAAACGCGCATACAATGCTGAAAATGCCATATATTTAGGCAGAACAGCAGAGGTTGAAACGCAGCCACTGTTTAGTGCTGCGTCGCTCTGCCTTCATTAATACTCGGATGAGAGTTTTTGTCTGGAGAATTTTGGTACTGGAAGGGTCTGCCTGTTGTTGTTAACTATTGAATCAGAATTGATTCAAGAAATATGAGTTTGGGTATTTTGAATAATATACGTAATTATTTTTATGACTTTAATGATTTTTAAATGTCTGTGGATGCCATTTGCATCACAAAAATAAATAATTTTATGTACTTTTTTATTGGAATATGTTTCCAAATTTTAATTTTGCATTTAAGTTACCCTTGGGGAATCTAAAATGTAGGTATCTTTAATTCAGTAAAGCATGATTTTTGTGACTTTCCAAATGGAAGTCAATGGCTGTGTACACTTTGAGTAAAAAAAAGCAACAAACATTTAATCAATGCAAAATTAAAGCGAGAGTTCACCCACGGAATAAGATATTTTTAAGAAAGCTTAAAAACTGTAAACTTTGACCTTAATTGTTTATTTTTTTATTAAAGGTTACAGGTCGTGTGTTTTTTAAAATATCTTCAGCAGATTTTATTTTCAGCAGAAAAATGAAATGAAAAATACAAAAATGCTGAATAATATATCTTCAAAAATGAATCACTTAAATATTATTTACCTTTATTAGCACAATTAATTTATTTTAGAGCCGTTGGAAGTGCTCATGAATGCATTCACAGCAATTTGAAGCATACATTAATAATATACATAAGCCAACATTGCATCATTCGGCTAAGCACTATTTGATGAACAATATGTCATAAGGGTCCTCTCTAGGCATGGGCCGGAATAAGATTCTGACAGTATGATAACCTTGGATAAAAATATCACTGTATTGTGATTACTGCTCTAAAATATATTCCTTTTAAATGTCTGGATAAAAACAAACTTTTTTTCTTCTTTGAACACAGTATAATTTATTTTAAGAAACATTTAAAATATTTTGGAACAGTAAATGTGTCAGGCTAAATTAATTATTGACTTCTGCTGTCTTCATTTGTTTCAAAAACAGATTTTTATTTTATTTTTTTCAATTTAAAAGAGATAAACAAAAATGTAAATAAAGAAATTGTACACATACCTTAGGAACCATATAGCAGAGCATTTTGACAATTTTAAAACCTTGACTTTTCCAGACCGCGGAATACCTTGAAAACAGTTATCGTCCCATGCCTAGTTCTCTCTGTCCATTGTAAACAAACAACATCAGCTCACGTGAGTTTGCACACGCACACACCCACACCAAACACAGAGGGGGACTCAAAGTGTCAAATGAAAAACTGTAATAAGGGAAAAGAGGTAAAATTCTCTTCCACAAAACCTAATCTTTGTTGCCATCAAAGGTAAATTACCTGTATAAAAGTCCTCCAATACCCTTTTTCCCATTAGTGGGAAAAAAAAATCCTGCCATAAAAAAACACTTCATTTTTCATACCAGACTATAAGTTACTTTCTATCATGGAAGTCAAGCTGCAGGCTTTTAGCCAGAAATAGCATAATGGACAAAGCTAATGCTGAGGCCGTTTTTTAAAATGAATTTCAGTGGAGGAGGAAGCTTGTTTAAGCTGGATACATTTTGTGGGAAAATAGCATAATTTTAAAAATCAACAGCACATCAACATGTTTGTTATACTTGTTATTTGATATAGTTTTAAAGTTTACATAAAAAATTTCTATCTAAAAATCTATTTTGTCTGCAAAGTCCCTGACAATTGTGCAACAGGTAGAAAGTGGCAGTTCTTATTCGTTTTTAAAGTAACAACAAACTGTGGCTTACTTTCACACTACTCTGTTATATTTAGCAAACAAGATTGAAATGTAATTTTGAAAGACCACACCAGTTTGAAACCAGTAGTTGAGCTGCAGACTCAAATCTAGACCATCATCTCTTATTCTAGTAATCCTGAAGACCTTGATTCCTGTGCTTCAGGTGTTTAATTGGAGTTGGAGCTAAGCTCTGCACTTTAGGATCAGGAATGGACACCACTGGTCTAGATGTACCACTTTCTGCTGTTACAGTCATGTAACTTAGTGTCAGTTGCTTAACTGCCCTTAGCAAATCCTCAACCATGGCCCTGTGGGATAGCAAAAGGTCCATCAGATGCATGCTTCAGAACTGAACCACTGCGGTGCTTTTGTTCATTATTCAGTTAATATTTTATTAAATTATTCATACACAAAATGTGAGCTGGACTTTTAATTTAATTTCTATACTGTATTGCTTTGTAGTAAAGTTATTAAATAGTATTTAAAGTTCACGTGAACTGGAAGTTGCTGAGGTCCACAAAAATACCTCTCTTGCTTTCTTTGCCATCGGGTTTATTGTTCAACCGGCGTTTGTTGACTAACAATTCTGTGGCGTAGTGTGGACGGAGATATGTTCAGAAACGCTAGGTGAAACGCTAGTGTGGACGCTGTTCGTTTTGGTTCTAAAACGCTGTTTTAAAACTAAAGCGCACTAGTGTAAACAGTGCCTGAGACTATCAGTATGTTGATGTACATCCATCTAGGGTGCTTTCACACCTAGACTTTTGTTACAGAACCTGTCTCATTTGCCCAGTTAGCACGGTTCATTTGGCATATGTGAGTCCAGCAATCGCGCTCTGATTCACGCCAACACAATCGATCCGAGATCGCTTGAATGAGGTGGTCTCGGCTCGATTGAAATGAACTCTGGAGCGGATCGTTTGTAGTGGAAAGGGGTACGATCCGAGCCTGGTTATATCAAAGTGTATTATGGATATGTTAGAGGCATACGGCTATATGTAGAGAGAATTATGAGTAGGGCGGGAGGTCATTCCAGACATCAGAAGTCTCCCGGAAGTTTCGGGAGTCTCCCGCAAATGCACATACACTTCTGGTTGCCCGCAAACGAGTGATAATCTTGCGGAAATCGCGCGTCTTCATTCTGGTCCTCAAATTCGTTGCGCACCCTTCTCACGCCTCCCCACCGCATCCCACCTCGCTCTTCGGACACGTTGCACGCACATTGTCAAACACCACCTAACCACCACCTCCCCTGACAGCTGAGCGGAACTCAAAATAAACCCTGATACTCTGACCAATGTGAGGAGAGTTTACTCACACGTGACTTGTTTCAGCTCTTTTGGTTTGTTTAGAAACTTTGCCGTGTGAAAGCGAACCGCACCAAGAACAAAGAGCAACAATGTAACAATTGTAATCCCTGTTTCAAAACAACTGAATCTATTCACAGGTGTGAAAGCACCCTAAAATGCAATATTGAGTAGGGGCGGGGCTTTTTTTGTGTGCATCATTCCCTCATAGTAAACTAACAGTAAGAGGGTTGTGGTTAGAAATATTGTTGCTGAAGCCAGCAAACAGACATCATCAGACGGACCGCCAATCTTATTGCCGAAGCAAATTGTCAGATTGCCAAAATCTGATAAACAAATTAACAAAAAGTTAATTTTGTGGATTAGCTTGCATGGATTTTCAGCTAACAATAACAATAGAAGTTACCAAAATAACCGTAGTAAATTTGGATTTCAAATGCTTTTTAATGAACATTTTAAACAAGCTGACTGAAGCTACGCGTGGAGCGTTGTACACTTAATGCATTCAACTATTTCAAGTGCATAAACTGAATGCCTGATTGGATAGTGCTGCATCACATTGCTGGTTCTCATTTAAAGTGTTTATTTCTGCTTTCTACATATACATTAATAAATGACAAGTGTTTATATATTTAAAAAAAAGTGGTTTGCTTAAACTATCTTTTAAATCTCTTTTCTCTCACAAGTCTGAGATCTGGTGTTTCTCTCTTTTCTTCCCGCCAGATGGAAGCAAATAACCATTTTAACTATGGGCCTCACTCTTCTGTGTCCGCTAACTCAGGACTGAAGCATTCCTCAGGAGATTCTCTCTATACTAACGGGTCCTCCATGAGCTTCCCCCAGCAAGGGAAAAGTGAGTTTCTGCTATCTGTGGATTATAAATGGAATGCATACATTAGGGCTGGGCTATATATGTAAAAAATGTCATATTATAATACAAGTCATCTCGTATCCCGAAAATGATTTATCATGATATAGTCAGTAATCGATAATAATGACCAAAAATAAAGGGCTATTTTATTTTATTATTTTCATTTTTAAATATGTACTTTTATTTATCACCTTATTTAGAACTTCAGGCGCAAATGTTTAACTAAAAATGTGTAAATAATAAATTAATATTAGGGTTCAACGATAAGGACATTTTCTACTGGCCCAACTTGACCAGCGTTTCAGATTTTTACTTGCCCTGCAAAAATTTTGACTAGCCCCAACAAAATAAATAAATAAATTTTGTTATTTCTTAACCAGATATTTTAAATATTGTGTCAAAAACAATGTCTGTGAATTTAGAATTTAAATATTTTAAAATTGTTAAAATATTTAGCAGTAAAATACAGCAGTATGGAAAATGTGCTGGTATTTTATTGCAAAGCAAAAAGTGGCTGAATTAAAAGTGACAGAAAACTATGTAAAACATTAATTACTTCATTTTTATCGTTGTGTTCTGCCCATGTAAATATCTTTTTCCACAACGTTAGAAACAGACTTTTTTTTTTAACCTCATAATTTTAAGTTGCTGTCTCTTCTGTTCTGGTTTTTACCAGGTTGTGGAAAAAAGTAACATGCTCACAACCAATCAGATAAAAGGAACCAAAAAGCAATATGGTGTTTACGACTTCACAGAAAAGGTAGCATTCAAAGACTTAAAAGCACAAATTGTTTCTCCATTCTAAGACTCTGTTTACGCACAACTGACAAATAGTCACAGGCAAATTAAAATTTGATGACAAGGCAGCACTTGCCTGATCGGACCAGTTACGATTCTCTCTACTGTCCTGAACATCTCTCACGCTGGCCATCGGGCAGTCCTTATTGTTGATCCCTGAATATTAATAAAATATAAAACTTTTTTCATAAGCTAATTATAGGGCCAACATAAAAAAAATCGCAAATAAAATGCAAACATTGTACTTTCAAGATTGCATCTGACTCACAACACTGTTAAGATTTCCCTCTGCATATTACAATGGTGTGTAATATTGCAGTCATTTAAATGATGAACTGATTACCATAAATTATATTTTTTGCAACACTATGAAATGAACAGTAGTGCATAATGTGAAATGATAGACGTTTTATTTTTTTCTGTACAATATATATTGCACAGCCTTATGCTGTGTTTACACCAGACGTGGCAAGCGCGGATAAATCATGCTATTCGCATTTCATTCCTTCATTTGCGCATCAAATTCACTTAAAAGCAGACGCAGATTTGCATAATGGGCAGTACTTCTGTCTGCCCGGTGATTGTAGCTTCGTTGCTAAACGGCTAATATGGTTGTGTTTATATGCTTTATGAAGGTTGAAAAACAGCATTGATTCGTTTGGAGCCGTGTCTGAGTGCACTGTATCTTTTCAGAGGTGCACCCAGCTGTGTGATTTCATCAACTCTTCTAGAAACTATACCTGGATGACAAAAGCTTCCAGTGGTGCTTCTGACTGAGGCGAGCCCAGTTTGATGAACTGTTGTCCGGTATTGGCTGGAGGATTTTCTCCCGGGACACCGACAACAGGTGCTACGTTATAATGACTCCCCCACAAGAGCAAGCTGCTGAAGTTCAGATTTTCGAACTCGACAATTTGCGTGAAACACACAATATGCACGTTAATCGCACAAAACGTTCAACTCGCGCCGCCTCATTCGTGTGTATCGCGCCGCATGATGTCTATTTGCGTCTTTGAATTGACTTAACATGTAAATCACTTGCGCTTGACACTTCCACGTCTGGTATGAACACAGCATTAGCAAACATAAGTCAACACCTGTCATAGTAGATTAATAATGTTGTCTGTTTTTTTTTTCCTCTGATGCCCCTCATGACACAGACCTGAATGGCGAAATGAATGTGAATGGCATCACTACTGCAGGTGGGAGCAGCCAGCCTGGCACCCTCCCTCCCTCTTCTTCTTATCCTCATATGAGCAACCATCACCTCCCAGGCAGCATTGGATTTGACTATCTGTGGGGCCAGTCACAGTTCAGCCCAGCGATGGGGCCTGTACCTCCCCACGGGTTGCACCAGAAACCAGGCTCACAACCACAGCAGCCTCAGCAGCAGCAGCACCACTTCCAGGGGCATGGACCCTACCAAGTCAACGGCAGCATGGGACCCTCTCGGCAGCCCCTGGGCTCTGGGTTGCAGTATTGGGGAAGGGGTAATCCTGGGCCGCAGCAGCAGGGGGGCTCCTCGATGTCCATGGGATTTAACTCTCATAGCATATATGGGTCATATCCCAACCAGGCTCATCAGAGCATCCCAGTGTCCCAGCATCACCAGCAGACTCCAGCCTTGCAGAACCAGTCTGCAGCATCACATCATCTCCAACACCCCTCGCATCTCCACCCACCTCAACACCAGCAGCAGCAACAACAACAACAACAGCAGCAGCAGCATTATACTATAATGCCTAATGGAATGCCCTTTTACCAGCATGCACCACACCAGTCCCAACCGCAGACCCAGACCCAGTCTCAAGCCCAGGCTCAAGTGGTACAGTCTGTCGGGCAGAGCTTTACGCCTCCACAAGGAAGCCCTCAGCACCATCATGTGGGCAGTGGAGGAGGCAGAAGCAGTCCACACCATGTGTCCATCCCAATGAGTTCCCCTTCTCCTAAGAGCAGAGAGATGCAAGGTAGGCCACTGTCACATATCAGCATTATTAGCTTAGAATTTCAACACCATTGAAAAGCTGGGATTAAAGTCAAAAACCTGACTTCAATGAGCCGAACTAAACGTCCACCCTTACATTTTTTCCAAAACATTAAGTTGGAGATCATTTGATCTAGCTAATCTGACTTAAGTTGAAATAATCTACATAACTGCTCGTGCACGCTACTATCGTGAAACCTTGAAGGTCGAACATAGATGCATCGATTATGTTGTGTGCTCTGAAATGAGATAAAGCTATGTTAACAGCGAGTTTGAGTTCAAACATATAATAATTTAAACATAATAATCAAAAACTATGGCTTGCCACAAAGTAAGAGAGAAGGCTGACAGGAAATTGCAAATAGTCTCAATAGGCTACATGTGTAGCAATATATTTTAAAATATAGGTTATTATTTAGGCCTATTAACATTAAGTTAAATATGTCACAATACATTGAAATTTTGCTGAGAGAGAATACGCGCTTACTGCCAATTGTTTGCGTGCGACCTAAGTTCAACCTAAATTCAATTCCTGGCTCGAGGTCTTTTGCCAGTCCTGTTCCTTTCTTATTGCTCCCAATGCTTTCCTGTCCTCACTCTCCACTCTTCTCGATTAAAGGTGAATAACTAAGCAACATACCTACTATGTAGATATCAGATAACAATTTACCATTTTCAACGCACTCTCTATGGCACATTTAATTGTCTTAATTAAACTATTAGGAGTCCTGGCTTAGTCTAAGCGCTGTATATTAAACCAGCCCCAAGTGTTTTAAGTATAAAGGAATTTTAAATGCAAAATTAAGTTATGTAATGTATGATTCTTAATGTCCTAAATGTTAACATTATGTTTGTTAATAGTTTAATGTTATTTCTACATTTTCATGTTTACTATTTGGGCTGTAGAGCATCTAAAATCGATTCATTTTTAAATTAATTGAATCAATGGCCATTTATTTATTTTATAAGGCTTTCAAAATAAAGCTTTACTCAAGGTCTCTACATGGTCATCCATAAGTGACATACTGGTTAGCATGGTTGGATTTTACTTATTTTCAGAATTGAGATGGCTTTGGGGGATATATTGTTAGATATTCTGAAATGTAGGTAGAATAGTTAAAAATGGCAGCACATATTGTTGCAGTCAATCTTATTTCCTGCATTGGGTGGTGCTATCCACTTCCTGAATAGCTTTTAATATCACTAGGTCTGTTACTATTTTTTTGTTCTCTGACAAAAATATCATTTGTACAGTCATACTTGGTTTTTACCAATGGTATTCAAGCTGGCTCCATTTAGGAAGTAAACCATACAGATAAATACAAAACAAGTGATGTCTTGGCCTAGTTCTCTTTTCTGCCCACGTTTTGTCCTGCTCATCTGCATTAGCATATGCAACCTAGAAAAAAAATAAAACAGACAATAATACTGTGCTTTTCATTTAAGATAAAGACGAATTACCTTTGGCTTTGCTTAACCTACAAATAGTGAGATCAGCAGCAGAGGTTCTGTAGTTTCACAATGATCATGCACATGCTGACTTTAAAACTACTTATTCGTTTACTTTCTCACTGTGTAACAATTTCCTCATAGGTCATTTCATGGGCAAAACAGTGAGTGTAGCGGTGTGAATTCTGTGCAGATGCTTCTGCACAACCGTTTACTTGTACAATTAAAATTGTAGTTGCACTAGCAGCATAGTGCACTACTTTCCAGGCCACATCTCTGACCTAAAAATCCACTTTTAGTTATGTCATATCACATTAAAGTGAATGTAGATTGTTGCTGCCTGTATTTAGCAATGTTGTTGTTGTTGTTGTTGTTGTTTTTTTTGTACTTGTCTTACTATTAACTTATGTGTATTTTCTTTTGTCAGTTCACATGAATGAGTCCTTTAAAGAAACCGATAAAGGCTTCAATGGAGTTGAGAGAAGCTCTGTACCCCAGCGTCTACCCAGAACTGAAGGTTTTCCTGTAAAGGCCCCTGGTTCCTCTACTGACTTTAACCAGGGTGTGCAGCATCCATCTATGGATCTGGAAGAACCTGCACAACCACATCAGGACATGAGAGCTGCTCTAAAGGAGCAAAGTTCCTCCCCCATTGCTGGACCTCCTCAACAGCTGACTAGTTCTCCTCGTAAAACATCGACCCTCCCTCATCAAGCTGCATCTGGGCAAGATTCACATTCTTCATCAACAGCTTTGGGTGTCTGTGCACACTTATCCGTAACTCCTCCTTCTCCACCACCTCTGATGGTCCAAGTCCAAAAACCAGTCTTCTCAACACCTTTATCAGCTGATGACACTCCTTCAGGAATTGGTACAACTTCAACTTCGTCTTCGAAAATCTCCAGATCTCCACCTGCTGTTTTACAAAGCCAGTCTACGGTGATTTCTTCTAAGACCTTGACGCATCCTCCAACGGTGCCTCCTCAGACGGTTCCTCTAGCTGATGCTCAGGGGTCGAAAAGTCCACAGGTCTCTGCAACACCTCTATCTTTAGCTGCGTCTCCATCTGTTGTCTCTACTCCTCCTGCGCTGGCATCACTGAAAGGACCCCAGGAGGCATCACCTCTAACAGGCCAGAGTCCTAAACATCCTGCTGCTTCCTCAACTCCAACATCTGTTGCTGATAAACTCTCTCTCCCAGCCTTTTCTGCACTTCCAGTGGTTGTGTCTGGTTCTCGTCAAGGTGCCCCCTTAGCTTCTACTGCTCCTTCTCCTGCTGTTAGCTTTTCTTCTCAGGCATCCTCTACACCGCTCATTCTTTCTCCTGTTCCAAATGTGTCTCATTCCATCGTTGGCTTTGCAGCTCAACCACCTGACTTGGTGGCAATTGTAGGTTCACATGGTGAGGTGCATCACAACTTTGGGGAGTCACACTCTAGTCAGAAAACCTCAGGTAAACCTGAGGCCTGTGGTTCCCAGAGTATAGATGGAGTTAAAACTGGCACATCCAAAATGGAGTCCAAGGACGCTCAACCTGAGATGCATATGGTGCAAACTCATGGCAGGAGCCTTGAACCAGCTTTCATTGTTCCAAAGGAACCAGTGAAAGAAACTTTGATAATTGTCAGAAAGGACTCTAATAGTATCAAAGATCTGGTTACCCAGAGGAAAGGAGGAAACGACACTTTAAATGACACCTTTGGCACTGATTCGTCACTGGTCTACCCGTCCTTGGCAGAGTCAACCTACCTTGAAAGCTCAAAAGCTGAGGAAGGGAGTTCAATGATGGACACTTTCGATAATTCATACGGTCTTTCCCAGACTGAAGACCAGTCAAAGTTTACAGAAGGATTCATGATTGATGACTCCAGAGACTTGCAGGACACTTCTTACGAAGAAGAAAACTTGAACAGCTCCATGACCTCTGCCAGTTCAACTGAAGGGACGTCCCTCAAAGATAGCATGTCTCTTCTCGAAGACTCTTTTAACAACACTTCACAAAACAGCTCCTCCATGCTTTCTACATCTATTAATGCCTCTACACACTCGATGAAAGGTGAGCCTCCGAATGCACCAATGAAGAACCGATAACATTTTAGCCAGCTAAAAACACTTGGACACTTAAGAGTTGTAGGTAAATAGTGACAGCAATGAGCGCTGTATTTTACCCAAAGTTGGATGTTCTTAATCTCTTAGTGGCCAGAAAAAAATGCAGACTCTGCAGTGCTCAGCGTAAAATAGACACTCAGCGCTTCGCCACACTGCTGGTGTTTTTTAATAATGCACCTCACCCATTGAAAATTATTGAAAAAAGTATGTTAGCCTTGAGGGACAAACACTTTGGTGGGCATACAGCCTTACATTCTCACAGGCTTTTGCGTCAAATTCTATAAGATGATTATAGTTTACATGTTTTGGCTGAAATCAAACAACACTAAAACAGAACATTTAATAGCTACAAGTGAGTATGTCATTCAACATCATTAGTATGAAGTATGTTCTTTTAAAGCAGGCTGAAGAGTATGATGTTGCTAAATTAGTGTTGATTAATTTTATTTTAGTATTGATTAAAAAGGAACAATAGATGAGTAATTGAGAAGAAAACATGTTTGAAATCAGTTGTAAAGTTGCATTTTCCATTATTGACTGATTAATGTAATCAGAATGTTGGCCAAGAACCTGTATGGTCCCCCAGTATAATGTGCGTCTCTGTTAATTAATATGAATGCTATGATGTGCTTGATGCATTACTTGAATTTTAACTTTAAAACAGATCCTTTGATGTATAAACACAAAATCTTCCCTATAGGTGATCAGATTCTTGTTGAAGAGAATGGACAAGAGTTCTCTGCAATGACCGTTAAAGCTCTGCAGGTGGTTGTAAGTGGCTCTGTTGAAGGTACGACCACACACATACCTGAAACTCTTATTGTCATGCCAACTAAAAAGCCACGGAAGCCTAGAACCCCAAAGACACCACAAGCTACTGCTGAAAGTAAATGCGACTTTCTGTTTATATTAGCATGCTTATGTAGTTAATAAATAATACAGTTTTATTTAATAGGAGTCATTTTTAATTGTTAGATGTTAAACACTTTCTGACTCTACTATTTGCAGTTGGCACTCCGGATTCCAAGACCAAAAAGCGGAAGTTAACAGCTGATGGCACCAAACCAGAGAAAGTTAGGAGGAGAAAGAAAGCCGAGGATAATTCATTGACTACAGTTAAGAAGAGGAAAGTCTCTAAAGAAGCAATGGGCCTCCCAAGTGATACCTCAACACCTTCAAGTTTTCCTCCTCTCCTCGATCCAAAGGTCCTTATCCATGACTCCAATCTGATCAATAATGAGAGCCTGATAACCCAACCCAAAAGAATCTGGAAACGCAAGATGAAAGAAGGCGTGAATGAGGCAAAATCTCCCAAGCAAGGCCAAGCTGAAGATGATGATGGAGACGATAAAAGCTCCACAGCAGGTATCTACATGTTAGGGGTTTTAAATTATAATTTTTTTAGCGGTGGTAAACCTATTTTTTGTATTTGACAGTAAAATATCAATTTTTTGTTTGTGTGACAGGAGACACCCCTAGACGCCGGATTGCAAGTGAAGAGCAAGTCCAGTTTCCTTTGGCACATGGGTGAGGGTGCTCTTTATGTCAACTTTTTTTCTTCAAGTGTGCTTCTAAAGCTAATAAAATGCTTGCATTCAGTCATGATAACTGATCAAAAACCCAGCTCCCAATCATACTATCATGTGCCACAGCCATATCACCCTGCAGCCCAAGATCGGTTACTCACTAAAGCTAAGCAGGGCTGAGCCTGGTTAGTACCTGGATGGGAGACCACTAGGGAACGCTAGGTTGCTGTTGGAAGTGGTGTTAGTGAGGCCAGCAGGGGGCGCTCAACCTGTGGTCTAAGTGAGTCCTAATGCCCCAGTAAAAAGTGAAGGGGACACTACACTGTCAGTGGGCGCCGTCTTTCGGATGAGACGTTAAACCGAGGTCCTGACTCTCTGTGGTCATTAAAAATCCCATGGCACTTCTCGTGAAAAAGCAGGGGTGTAATCCCGGTGTCCTGGCCAAAGTCCCTCTATCGGCCCTTACGATCATGGCCTCCCAATCATCCCCGTCCACTGAATTGGCTCTATCACTGTCTCTCCACTCCACCAATAGCTGGTGTGTGGTGAGCTCACTGGCGCCGTTGTCCTGTGGCAGCCGTCGCATCATCCAAGTGGATGCTGCACACTGGTGGTGGTGTGGAGAGACCCCCCTCATGATTGTGAAGCGCTTTGGGTGTATGGCCATATACAATAAATGCGCTATATAAATACACATTACATTACATTACATTACATACTAGTAACATTTCTTAAAAAAAAAAAGGGGGAAATATAGTAGCTGATAGGAGTGTAGAGTATACACATATGCATAATGAATACAATTTTAACAACAATATATATTTTTTTATCAATTGTTTTTTTTTTTTTGTGTATAATTTTTATTATTATTTCCAGTGACGTACGGTGATAGCCATTATGCCTACAATTCATTAAACAAGAAGCTTTTGCTGCATCCCGATTCGCATACCAATCATCCTAAATAGTATTCAAAAATACAGTTAGCATGTCACATGTCCCAAACCGCAGTATGTTGAAAAGAGTATGCCAAAGATTCCTGGATGATAAACTATTTCTGGTAGAAATTTGTAGTGTATAACATCCCTACTCTTAACCCATAATATTGACCACAATACATTGCAAGTTGGTTGTGAATTTGATTAGAACTACAAACTTGGTGGACACACAAGACCAATCGTCAAGTACAGGTGTTTATATGACTATTAATTAATATCTAGCCAACTGGTAAATATCTGCATCACATTTTCTGTGTTATTACATCTGCAACAAAGATGTCAATTTCGCATACTATTTGTCCTAAATAGTATTTAAAAATTCAAGAAGTATGTCCCAAATCATTGTATGTTGAAAAAGAGTACGCCAAAGGTTCCTGGATGGTGTATTTCTAGTAGAAATTCAAAGTGTAGAACTATCTGTACGCTTAACCGATAATATTGCAGATAATTATGTGAATTTGATTAGAACTAAAAACTCGGATTAAGTGTAAACCAGTAAATCCATGGTGAGGTAAGTGACGTTATAAACTACACTGCCCTTCTTTTTGAAGAAGTACCCGCTTTGTGTCCTCAGGAGTTCGTTCTTCCAAGTCTGAACTTCCTAGGACGCAAGTCCGAACTTTGCATAATTGGTATTGAGAAACAGGCAACATTTCTGTTTAAAAGTGTTATCTTTCTAACTCTGTTTGTGGTATCAGCGAATTGATGTTCTTTGTGTATTAAATAATCAGTTCTGTTCAAAAGTTAACAACTGTGTGAGGTGTTTCTTATGCGGTGCCTACATGCGGGATCATGAACTTGACATTGTTCTCTCTTCAGGCTGTCGTTATCAGTCTTGTACAATTTTTGTTCCTTTTTTTGAAAGTCACTATCCTGGAGGTTTTCTTTGGTTATGTAAGCAAATTAGAATTAAAAAAAAAATGTGGTTCTTTCCCATTTACTGCTTTCTAATTTTGTCCAACTATGAAGACTTCCGCAGCTGAGAAATAAAAATATGTGAAGAGGGTCAATTGTGAGAAGCGGCCACTTATGGGGAATACAAATATTAAACCTGACTCTGTAAATTAATCTATATATGATCATTTATCAATAATGCACAATCAGATAAGATATGGGCATCAGCTCAACCTTGAAATATTGGCAGAAATCCAATATTGTGCATCCATACTACATTTAGCAAAAGCATTTCAATGTATTTAATACAACCCCCTTTTGTTGATTATCTGGAATACCTAACTGTTTAAATAGCTATATCGTGAACTTTCTACTGTTTACTGTACTGTAAAATTGATTTTATTTATAGCGACCTCCCCTAGCCTAAAGCAAGGCATTCAGTGTCCATTTATTCTGCAGATTCAAACACAGAATTATTGTGTGACAAATAATTTGTTAAGGTATGGGTATCCTGTTTGATGTGCTGTTTATCTTTGCTAGCTGGAAGCGGGAGATCAGAGTTCGTAGACTTGAGGACCGCCTGAAAGGGGAGACATGGTACTACAGCCCCTGCGGCCGAAGGATGAAGCAGTTCCCTGAGGTCATCAAGGTAAGATCTGTGTTAAACCTGCAGGGCAAATTATTTCCAACCGAAAAACTTTATCTGCACGAGTGGTGAAGAGGATTCTGTCTTCATCCACTTGCTTTTGCCTCTCCTGTTCCTTCAGTATCTGAAAAGGTATCATGAGAATCTCCAGGGTGTTTCCAGGGAGCACTTCAGCTTCAGTCCACGCATGCCAGTGGGTGACTTCTATGAGGAGCGGGAAACTCCTGAGGTCTGTGTTCACACAAGTGCTACAGTCATGTGGTGATGTTTTCACTCAAACAATCTACACTACTGCATGACGCACCATCTCCTGTTGGTTTGTTACAGGGTAAGAAATGGTTTCAGCTTGCCAATGAGGAAGTGCCCTCGATGATCATGGCGATAACCGGCAGACGAGGTCGTCCCCCAAATCCAGACAAAGAGCCTCGTTCCACTGGTCGTCGGGCCAAAGGCCAAGGTAGACGACCGGGTCGACCTCCCAAGGTCAAGATGGAGGATCTGCTCAGCAAAGTTGATGCCAGGCTGCTGAAGAAACTGGAGGCCAAGGGTGAGTGACTGACATGACTTGAGCTTGGTGCGAATTTACATCAAGGCCCCAGTATACTGTTCATTTGCCATCAAAGTACGGTACGTTTAGCTAGTGAAACAAAACCATAAGATTCAGTAAAAGCAGAATGACTGTGATATGTCACCTAGTAACAGCCGTACATGCAACAGCAGCCTAATGACGCAAGTGTACTGTGGTTCGGAAGGAAAAAATCGAACTTGAACCAATTGAACCAAGTGTGAAAGCACTCTTAGGGCGTTCTCGCACTATGTACAGTTGCCTTGTACCGAGCCAAAGCACGCTTGTCCCCCCTCCTGTCTCCCTCCGACGGCCTGCACTCACATAGCATTCGGGCCTAGGCACGCTTGCGTCATCGATGATGTGCTGGTCAGAAGCGCTATTGCTGAGCACAGGGAGATTTCTTTAGTAATGTCGTTTGATATGCAGTGACACGCAGTCAAATATTTTGACGAACAGATCAGCCATTTTTGACGCTCATAAACAATCATAATGTCCTCGTGTTGCAAGAATTAGGAGGTTTGCTGAAGGTGCGCAGCTTTCATGCCTAGTGAGGGGTTTGCGTCTTTAATAACCTAAGACAGTTTGCGTTCATAGAACAGTAAGAATGAATAATAAATCCATATGAAACAGTCCCCTAAAAGTCACGTCTTGCTTTTAATTTCGGGCTCTGGTGCATTTTGCACTCACACACAAGCGTTCCGCGCCAAAGCCCAAGTGAACTGTGCTCAGGCACACCTCTTCCAACCGGGCCAAGTGAACTGTGCCTGAGCCCGATTCAGCCCACTGACACTTCTCAAATGATCTGGGAATTGGGTCTGGGCATGGCTCAGATAGCATAGTGTGAGTAGGCCTTTAAAGGCACAATATGTTAGATTGTTTGATTGAAATATCCATAGACCACTAGAACAATGTGCTGACTTTGGATTTTAACGTTCTTTTAAACATTTGGGATAATGTGAATACATGAGGAATTAGCAGTTTGAACTAGCTACACTGATCAAGTCCTGATTAGCCATGCTAATGACTACCATACTGTTCTAGCAGTATTGAATACTTTAGCTAATTCGCATGATTCCTGCTGGTGTCTTGTAGGTTGTAATGAAGACAGTTCCACCCTGTCATTGCATCATCAAACTGCACTTTTGTTTGTTGTGAATATGCGCCCCCTAGCTGTGAAAATTACATCCTGTTCCTTTACGAACGAACTAGTGCAGGGGTGGCCAACCCTGTTCCTGGAGAGCCACCATGCTGCAGATTTCAGTTGCAACCCATATCAAACACACCTACCTGTAATTATCATGTGGTGTTCAGGTCCTAATCAATTGGTTCAGGTGTGTTTGATATGGTTAACCTTTATCTGCAGGAAGGTGGCTCTCCAGGAACAGGGTTGGCCACCCCTGAACTAGTGTGACATCGATATCAACAAACTAAGGTGTTTTGTTCAGTTGAAACAACTTCTGAGATCTTTCAGTTGGTTCATGTCTGTGGTGATTTAGGCCTGTCACAATAAGGAATTCTTGTTGTGCGATATATTGTCACTGATATTTTTTGCGATTAGTGAAATGATTGTTATTTTGAGATGTGTAATGATTATATAACAGCACAATGCAAATGGCTATAGACACTTTAAAATACTTGGCATTCTTAATTAAGGTTATTTAGCATTAATAATTAGCATTAATAATTAAGGTTATTTAGATTCTATAATTTGAAGTTAAAAAGGTAAATGTCCTATTATATAAACTATTAAAAGTCCTATTGGGTAAATGTTTAACCTCAAACCTTGACACCTGTGAGGTAGAACGAAAACGCCATCGTAAAATGGCATTAAAGTCATTTGTGCATTTGTAAATATTTACTGCAATGGCAATAATTATTGAGGTCATCTTCAAGTACGATAAGTCGATATATTGATTATTGTGGTGATGTTCTTTTTTTAGCGCAGAACAATTCTCCGGTTTATCCATTTTGTTTAGCCTGTCGTGGGCAGATGTTTGTTAGTGGAAACCTTAACATTAGAGAGCTAATGAGTTGTTACAATAAAGAGTTATTTTACTTGAAATTAACTGAAGACTTGTTTTCATGTTCAATACCGAAAAGCAGTTGGCTGGTTATTGATTAGATTAAGGCAGATCTTAATGTGAGATTCCTGTCTATTGCAAGAGGATTGGAGTTTTGTTACGGGGTTGGAGCATTGATTGATGCATCTAAAATGTTTTTGTTGCCTTTTGTTCAACTCTTGAACTGACAGTATTTGCTAACTAATGTTTTACAGAGGATCTCACAGAGGAAGAGAAAGAAAAGCTGGCCAAGATCAAGAAGAAAATGAAGAGAAAGGTGAGCTGACTGTTATTTACTTTAACAAGCTATTTTCTGAGGATAATTTGTTTTTTAATTGACACAATAGCCCCTTTCACACATACAGACCTTTCCGGAAAATTGCCGGCAATTTTCCGGAAAGGTTGTATGTGTGAACAGGTCCTTTTTGAAAATACTGGTAAATTCGTTCTGGCTATTTTCTGGAAAGAGAAGTTGTAACATTACCGGTAATTTGCCGGAATGCTGCACTGTGTGAATGCAGAAGGAAGATTGCCAGAAAGAGCGCGTGCACGTCTGGAACGTGCTGACGTGAGACATCTGCTTTAGCCAATCAGAACAGCCAGACGCATTCCCGTGCGCGTGGTTTATGAGAATAAAAGCCTTTGAATATTTTCCCAGACGCGTTTAGCTGCTTGATGTTAGTCAGATAACGTTTATATGTTCTTCTTAATGCCAACTGTAAATAATCATCGATAAGATGCTTATGATAAGCCATTCTTTGTTTATCTTCAAGCTTTGCGTGTGCCTGTGAGCGCCAGCAAACACACATATTATGAACATCTCGACATGCGAAAGTGTTTCTCTATATTTTCATCGAAGTTGTTCACAATACTGGTCATCCACAGAGTTTGTAATGTAGTCAAATGTTTACAAATACAAGCGCAGCCGTTTAAAGCTCATTTGTGGTGAATGATGTCACAATTTATCGGTATTTTGGAATGGATGTGTGAACGGTCTTTTCTGGAAAAATTCCGTAATGTCCTGGCCTGTGTGAACAGCGCTTTTGAATTTACCGGTAAAGTCCTTCCGGAAATTTTCCATATATTTACCGGTATCACTGTGTGAAAGGGGCTAATGAATGTGTGGTTTTTCCTCACGCAGGCAAGAATGAAAAGAAAGGAAGATGCAAAGAATAAGAAGATGCGGCTGGAGAAACGAAAGGCTAAAGTAAGACTAACTTTATTTGGAAATGTGTAGAATTTTAATTATAGGGTTTATGGTTAAGAAAAAAAATATGCACAATAGATTTAATACAATCTTTAAATTTAACTTGGGAACTTTTTATAGTATTTCCAATGTACAATTAAAGTTTTGCCCCTTCTAGGTTCTAAGTTGAGCATTTTTTTTTTCATTCTAGCAGAATTAGTGGAGACAAATTCTGAATCTGAATGAAAGATTTGCATGTTCATTATAGTCGTCCCAGTTATTTGAAGTGTTCTGAGCTTTGATTTTGTTTCCTGCCATGTTTGAGCAGTTGGAGAAATCCAAAGAGCAGGGACTGGATAATGGGGACCTCTCACTGCCATTCAGCCAGTCGTCTGAAAGCACCCTGTCGGCTTCAGAGGGGCCCAAGAAGCCCGGGCGCAGGAGGAAGGTTGTAGTACCTGCAGCAGAAACCTTCGACCCGGAGCAGGCCAGCCCAATCAAAACTGTGGCCCGAGCCCGCAGCAAGGCTAAGGCTTTGGCAAAGGCCCAGGCACAAGCGGAGGCAGAGGCACGGGCTGCACTGGCGGCAAAGAGAGCGGCGGAGAGGAGAGCACAGGCTCAGAGACGTATGGAGGAGAGGAAGAAACAGCAGATGCTCTTAGAGGAGATGAAGAAGCCTGCAGAGGACATGTGTCTACCCGACCACACGGTGAGCGATGTAGAATTTGCATTACACAAATTCATGAAGATTACTTTTAAACCTTCTAAACTTCAACGCAAATGTTTCTAATCAAAATACCAATTCGGCAGAACAGCATGTGGGTATTAAATGTTTAAAGGTGTCATTTGATGCTCATGCCCAAGTCTATAACACTTTCGAAACTCAAATGTCTTAATGATAGTGGAAATTTTACCTTGTAAAAAACAGTTTAGTTCGCAGCAACCTGTTTTTGAGCATGTCTCTTTAAATGATAACGAGCTGCTGCTCTTTGACCCTGCATCTTTTTTTAAAGCTGAAGTGCATCAGAGATTTTTGACACAAATTGAATACAAATTTTTAGCATAATGGACACACATAACACATTTTGCTGAGTCTTCGCCACTGCTTTTTATCTGTCATGACTGAGTATTTGAAGCTTTTTCCACAATATGTTGACAAATCTAATATTACTCTGGTGCATCTTGCATGGATATAATCATTTATTATTACTTGACATTGCAGCCTACCATTATCAGTTTAAAATCTTATCAAAGAGTCAGAAATTCAAAAAGTGACATGAAAAGTGGCTGAAATGAAGTAATCAACTGCATCATCCAACTTTTTTTTTTTGGTGATCTTTCCTTTCAAATTTTCCCTTTAGATTTAATTGCAATTTTAAGTCCAGCTTCATATTTCCAAGGTTTGAAAAGTGGAAAAAAGCGGAACAATGTGAGTTTTTCAGATGGATGCAAGTTTTTGAACAATGTCTGTGAAAATCCCTACATATATTAAATAAGCCATTTCACCATTGTCTCTTTTGAAGTTGGGATTCTGCAAGCCTGTACATTCGAACACCCAGCATGATTGAGGTGGGAACCATAATTTACTGGAAGGCGGTCACATTGAAAGAACTAAAATTAGCTGGTTGTTTGCGTCAAACCAGATTGAAACTGCTGGTTTCGCATGATGACACATTTTAATACTTTAGACCAACTCCTAACAGTTTTTCTGGACTGAGCGACACTGCAGAAACCTAGCTGAATGCAAATAAAAGAAAACAAATTTTCCCTAATTTTTTTCCCCAAATTTTATGGCAACAATAATTAATCTTTTGCGGCGTAAAAAAGATCTAAACAGAATAAATCTGCTTATATAAAACTTGTAGTAGCAGTGCTCATAAGGTGCGACTAAATTTTGTCTGGTGCGCCTAAAATTTTAAAGTTTGGAGCACCTGTGCTACCAAGCAAAAAGGTCAATTTTGAGCTCTATATTCCAAATCAACAATGGTTTTTCTTTTTTCTTTTCTTTTTTTTATTGAAAGAAAAACAAGGTGAATTGTTACATACAAGGATTTGACGACTTTTTCTTTTTTTTTTTTATACATTTTTCCCCCCATGAACAACCTCCCTCCCCTTCTAAAAGAAAAATAAATAAATAAACAAATTATAAAAAATTTATAATATAATAATAATAATAGTAACAAAAAAATACTAAATTAAATAAAATTTTTACTGAGTCACAGAGTTTTTATAGCACAATGAGGAAATATTTAACAGTAATGTTTTCCCATCGAGATTCATTGCGTTATCCTTATAAGCATAGACCTCTATAACATTAGGTTGGGGGGGGTGGATGGGGGGTGGGATGGGGGTGGGGGGAGGAGTGTTAGACCTTTTTCAAACTATGAAGTCATTGGATTTCATACTGTATAAAAATGTTTAATAGATCCTCTAAGAGAGTATTTAATTTTCTCCAATCTTAAAAACAGCATCATATCACTAAACCAGAGTGAAACTGAAGGTGGTTCACTTGATTTCCAATTAAGCAATATTCTTCTCCGAGCCATAAGACATGCAAACAGTGATTTTTCTACATTAGCCATTCCGTAACCATAATTTTTAGTAGTAAAACAGTGTTTATACAAATTGTAAACAATGTGCCAAAGAAAATAGTTACAACACTTTTACTATTAATATAACAATAGTTCATTTTCATTTGTGAATGTAAAGTTTGTCTCTGTGTTATTCTGTCACTCAGTGTGTTTGTGGTCTCTCTCCCTCTTTGTAGCCTCTGCCTCCACTAACACGGATACCAGGACTGAAGCTCTCGGGTTTGGCTTTCTCTAATTGTTTACGGGTGGTTGAGTTCCTCCATGGCTATGGCAAGATTCTGGGACTTCAGGTGCCCAAGGACATCCCCAGTCTTATTACCCTGCAGGAGGGGCTTCTGGGCATGGAAAAGAGCCAGGGTGAACTGCTGGATCTGCTCATCAAACTGGTGGAGTCCGCGCTGCATGATCCTGGACTGCCCTCGTATTATCAGGTTTGTCTTACTCTAAGTGTAATATCAAAAAGATGATATAGATATACTGATATTTAGCAGGGTAATTAAAAGTCTTTACACCTTAGATTTAAACTAATTGAATTTTATAAATTGGAAAATTGCTAAATGTTTTTTTAATTCATATAAAAGTGTAAAGCAACATGTGTATTGGAGGTAATGTATAGCCCGACGTCTTGGGGCTTTTTCATTCGGGGAACCAAAATCTCCACCTAGGCTTGTTAAAGTACTGGAAATTAATACCAGACGATATTGAAATTTAACAAAGAGGTCAATTTCACATGAACATTTAAGCGCTGTTGGGCACATTCTTAAACGGGACTGATTTCCCAGTGTGTTCACGTGCTCAACAGAAATGACTGCGATTGGCCGTGAAGGTCATCAGTTGACTGAACTCACTGCTGTTTACTTGGTTTAACCACAGATACAGGGACACTTGAATATTTTAAAGCCCTGATTCATCTTAACATTCTTACAGTTGTTTGTATTCAATACTTTATTATTATTATTATTATTATTTTCTTTTTTCCATATCTGTAATACCTGTATTTTGGCTTTTTTTGCAGTCCACTTAGAATCCAACATGGCAATCAATGTTTTCTTTATTGGCATTGATTGTTTTGAAATTCAAATGGCATTGACATGCCTGTGTTTTTATTTCTGTAATAAATATGGCTGTCAGGCCAGGATGTAGATTTTTTTATTGTGGGAATGTTGTTTACATGAAGAAATCTGTATTACAAGTTAAACAAAACTTCTAATAATAAATTATATTTTGAATTTAAATAGTATTTGTCTTGCGTTTACATAAATTTTACATTCGAATAGCCAAAATGACAAGTTTCAGTCTTTTAAATGCGATTAATCACGATTATTATTTTTTTAAGTGCAATTAATTAATAATTTTTTTTATCTATTGACAGTACTAATTTATATATATATATATATATATATATATATATATATATATATATATATATATATATATATATATATATATATATATATATATATATATATATATATATATACACATTACGAATATATAGATTTTTTTTTTTACATATACAATTTCAAAATGGTCAAAATTGTATTGTAATTTCTATTTTCATTACTGGTTTCTGTCCTGTCACCGAATTCTGTTCACATAACTAAAATCAAAAAGCTCAACTATGTTCAAGGTCATTTAGGTTTATCTTGAAAAAAGCATTTGATTAGTCAGTAATCGAAGGTTTGCGCGTCAGTCTGTAAAGATCCTAGGAGAGAAGCTGGTGGATCTTGAGCTGAATCACAGCACAGTGTCTGAGGTGCTGCGGGTCTTTCTGGAAGCCCATGGTTTTGAGATGGAAGTCTGTAACAGCCTCCGTACAAAGAGCTTTCAGACCCTCAAACCCGACGTCAAAGCCTCCATTCTGGCCTTTGTGGTGGAGGAGCTCAACGCCAGCAACATTGTAACCAGGTGAGCTCAAATTAGTCACGTTAGCTTCGTTATCAGAACCGTTTAAACAGCATTTTCATTTTCCAACCGTTGTGTTTCTACAGGGAGATTGATAACACTCTAGAGAACATGGCCACCTACAGGAAAAACAAGTGGATTATCGAAGGCAAATTACGCAAGTAAGATTCCACTTTTAATATGAAGCAAGTTTTTCATTTTTGAAAAACAGTTTTGTGAAATCTGGTGAGAGTATGAAACCTATTTAAACTTGATCTGAAATGCTTGAGAAAAATGTGTCTCGAACTAGCTTAAAACTGAATGTTTTCACAACTAACTCACTGTACTTTAAAGTTTTTTTTGTGTTCATGGTTTAAAAAAAAGTAACATCAGCTATCTGCACACTGGAGAGCATATTTACATGGATTTTCACAATTCTTTTTCTTAGTTTTATTTTTAAAGTATTTTTTAGGTACAGATAGCTTTATTTTTAGATATTTTGTAAAACAAAGCATGTTGTACACATTGCAAAAAAAATCTACTATATAAAAACATTTAAATACAAGAGAGAAAGAAAAAACAATGACATGCAGCTAAAAAGGTGAAGGTGGATACACCAGAAAAGAGCCTGAAATTTTTCTCAAAGATTTTGTTGATCCCCTGAGACTGAAAAGGAATTTTCAGCAGTCGGAAATTAGTTTGATGTTTTATTATTTTAAGATATCGAGTAAAACAATTTCCAGTTAATTATTACACATTGTTTCCCAATTCTGTCCTTGAGGTCCTGCAGATTTTAGCTCCAACTTGCCTCAACACACCTGTAAGGATGTTTCTAGAAAGCCTATTAAGAGCTTATTTAGCTGGCCCAGGTGGGTGTGATTGGGGTTGTAACTAAACTTTGCAGGACATCGGCCCTCCAGGACCAAGCTTGGGTACCAACTGGTCTAGTAGTTCAGTGTTTGTTTCTCAATATGCGTTCTTCAGCGAACTTGCGTCCTTGTGTTCTCATGTAGCGTCATCATCAACTGTCAGTTCATTTCCAATATTCAAAATCGCAAGAATAGAGGACGCGTGAAACTTCCCGGATGTGTTCTTGATATCGAGGACGCATCGATAAAACTTGAGCACCAAACTTGCACTAGAAGTCCCAGAAGTCATTGCGATTGGAGCTGGGAAGCGCAGCATGATATACAGGTTTATTATTAAAGTTCAGAGATATAACTTATTTATCTCAGGAGTTTCCCTAAATGAGACAGTAAATATAAACATTACCATGAACATCTTAATAAAGGAATAAACACATTAAGTATGTTTATTTACTGAAATTTCTATTAAAACCTGTTTTATTTTTATTGCGCAATGTATATTTGTAAAGTCTTTATGCATAGGGGGAAAAAATAAATAAATCGTTGTATGATTGCTGTAACGTTTAAATAATTTACCATTAAAAATGCGTAAGGGTCACATGACCATCAGGAAGAACGCAACGTCTCATTTCTCACAGGATGCATTCTTCGTTATCGTGGGCTCCCGAGTTTGTTCTTTCAGGGACACCTTGCAAGACTAGTTCTCACAAGAATGCAAGTCCGTTCTCTGCGCTCTTGGAATTGAGAAACAGCCAGTATCTCCTAGTATCCATATTTCAGGATCATGACTGATTAAGATACATGCAGTGCTCAGCATAATTGAGTACAGCCCATTTTGAAAATGAATTATTCCTCTATTTCTCAGTAAATATAGGAAATGTTTTCTGCTTCATGTAAACAAAATTATTAAACAAATATATTTATGAAAATTATATTTTAGTCATCAAACATATTTAGAAATGGAAAGATAATACAATAAAATTTAAGTAAAATATTGCAAAATTAAATTACAACCAACAAAATTTCAACTAAAATTTTTGATTTTTTGCTTCTCTTGAAGCTCTGGGTACAAAACCCCCGAGAGCAGTGCAATACGGACAGTTTATCAAGGATGTACCACTGGATCGCGTCTCTCTATAGTTGTTAAAGTAGTAATTTCACGTTTCACGTTTGTACTTAGTCATTTTAGCGAAAACCTCATATACTGTTGGTTGGTTCCTGTTGGTTGTGCGCCTTTTTTTACCAACCAAGTTAGTCGACGCCATTATAACGACACATCCCTCTGCCTATTCATGCCAGAGTCCCGCAGGAAAAGTGATTGACGGGGTAATTGGTGTATTACTTCTCTTGATTTATTTATGATTTGGTTATTGGTAAAACGAAGACCATGCAGGTCTGATAGTTGAAAAGGTAGGCTACAAATAATAAATTTGTTATAAATTAATTATTTATTCATGAGAAATTAATTCACTGCCGCCTATAACGACAATGCCATCGTCCATCACGATGTTTCCCATTAGACATTGTACGATGCCAAATTGGTCGACATCGCCCAACCCTAATGCTAAACACTGTATATTGTCATTCTGGCATTATAAAATGAGTTGTATAAAATGGCCTTAAAATTACAATTATATCATCGATTGCAATATAGTTGGCTGCAATTTATTGTACAACAAAAAATAGATATCAAGACAGACCTATCCATAGCTAGATATTAGGTATAGTTGATGCATATACGTGTGTGTGTGATCAGACTGAAGGCTGCACTGGTGCGCAAGACGGGTCGTCCTGAGGAGGAGCTGGTCTTTGAGGAGCGTCGGCGCAGTGCTCGCGTTGGAGTAGCAGAGGAGGAGAGTATTGAAGAGAGCTGTGTGCTGGAGCGAGGGAGTCGACGCAAGGCCAAAGAGGAGCCCAAACACACTGAGGTACTGAACATCTATGTCCCAAACTGGACTTAAGTTGGTAAACTTCAGAATCTTCTGTCCTCATTTACTTGCATTTCATACCTATTTGAGTCTCTTTTTTTTTTTATAGAGATGTTGGACAGTTAAACTAAAGTGATTTTCATGCGCATTTTGTCAGTAAAGCTGGTTCTGGTCAACCTTCAGCATGTGCTTTCAGATAGAGCAGCATTTACTACAGAGGCATAGTTCACCGATAAGCTACGAATAATTGTTCAAATTAATTTAAATGGTTGATAATGACATCGAGATTATCGTTCGATGATAATGACCGCTGTTTTGCATGGCTTCTCTGCTGTGTAGTAAACTGCATGTTAAAAGGATAGTTGCTAGTTCTGTCGCTTTAATGATGAAAGTGCAAGGGTGTGTGCTTGGATGGGATGTCAGATGATAAAGTTTGTTGGATTTAATATTGGTGACTACATCTTGTTTGTTCGTCATTAAATGCAACAGAACTACATACAGTAGTCATGTGATTTATTAGTCATGCTTAATGACAACAATTGAATTTTGTGTTTATAATGAAGCACTCTGAAGATTTCCTGAGTTGTTTCTTCGTGGGTGTTTAAATTTCTGAGCAAGAGCGCCCTCTGGCTTTTAAGAGGAGATTTACCGCTGATCACACAATCGTGCTTCTCTGAAAAGATGTGCATAATAATTACTGCTTTGCTCATTTAGCTTTGCAAAGTTTTATTATTTATTATATTATTATTCAAAAATATTGCCAAGACCTACTTCTGTTTAACACAAAAAAGGAAATTTTAAAGAAAGGTGGAAACTGGCATCTGATTTTTGTGAGCATGTCAGATACAATTCAAATTACAAGCTGTCTACATCTTAGCTAGTTTGCAAAATTTTTTTGTTATATAAAAAATGAGAGCAGCTACTTCTAAAATCATGCTAGAAAAAACAAGCCATCCACTACACATTTCACAAGTGAGTGCTGGATCACTTCTGGAAAACATCTTGACATCCTCAAGATCAGAGTCACTTTCAAAATCATTTACTGGCCAATCCAGCTGTAGAGGACTCCTGGAGTCTTTAACCTGTGAATAGAGCATCAACAATGAGCCACTTCAAGCTCAAGCTATGATTTCAATCATGCTTTTGATTTGAGCTGAGGACATGCTTTATCTGAGGGTTTCATCAACTGTAGGGGAGGTTGTACGGTAAAGAAAGGCTTATATTTAATTTGTTGTATATTTAAAAATGATTATAAAATATTTATTTATACAATAAGCTTTAAGCTGAACACTAGTATGTTCTAAAATATTTAATAAAATATAATGTACTCTCATCATGGCAAAGGCAAAATAAATTAGTTATTAGAAATTAGTCATGTTTAAAAAAATAGTCTCTGTTAAACATCACATGAGAAATATTTGAAAAATGATTGAAATCTTATGCTGTGTTCCCACCAGACGCGGAACGCGCAGTTAAATTGTGCTATTCGCGCGTAAAAAGCCGCGTGAACATTTGAGGTTACTCGCTTCATTCGCGCATCAAACCCCGCTTCATTCGCGTGTCAAATTCACTTCAGAACAGATGCGGATTCGCGTGATGGGCAGGGCTCCTGTCTGCCCCATGACTCTAACTTCATAGCTAAAGGGCTAACATGGATTTTATGAAGAAAATAACAGTGTTTATGTGCTTTATGAAGGATGATAAACAGCGTCAATACGTTTAGGGCCGTGTCTGAGTCCACTACATCCTTTCAGAGGTGCATCCAGCTCTGTGAGCTCATAAACTCCTCCAGAAACTGAACCTGGCAGATGGAGGTTTTCAGCGGTGCTTCTGACTGAGCCCAGCCCAGTTTGATGAACTTCTTGTCGGTGTCTGCTGGGGGATTTCCCTTGGGACACCGACAACAGGCGATACGTCACAATCACCCCCCACAAGAGCAAGCTTCTGATTGGTTAATGCGGCGCGAATGTCCGCTGAAGTTCAGATTTTCGAACTCGAGTGATTAGCGCGAAATGCGCATTAAGCGCGTCAACGCGCAAAATTCGCCAAATGCTCAATTCGCGCCATGCCATTCGCGCCATGCGCACCGCGCAATTCTCGTCATTTGCGCGTATCGCGCCGCAGGATGTCTATTTGCCCGTTTGCATTGACTTAACATGTAAATCACCCGCGCTTGACGCGCATTCCGCGTCTGGTGTGAACGCAGCATAACAGGCTAATCATTTTATCTGTTAACTGGAAACATTTTGTAAATATTCAGCAAAAAATACTTTCCATATAAGTGAAAAAATAACGCACATCTTCTATTGTTTAAGGGGGTGTACAGATTTATGCTGAACATTGTTTTTGACATAGATTTTTTTCTGACAGATTGAGAGTCCTAATACCTGCAGTGTTGCTGAGCTGGAGCGCCAGATTGATAAACTAACCAAGGTAAAAATCAAGTGACTTATCCCTTTTAGTCACTCTAAAAAGGCTCATTTCAAATGTGTATTTACATTTGTCTCTATTCTAAAGCTGCTGTTTCACTATTAAATCGTTTTATATATCATCAATATGTTAATGCTAAATCAATGTTGAGAAATTTACTAGCCTGTAAATCCATACAGGAATTAGTTTAGCTAATTCCATACCATATACCAGGGGTTCTCGAACTCAGTCCTGGAGGGCCGGTGTCCTGCTGATTTTAGCTCCAACTTGCCTCTACACACCTGTAAGGCTGTTTCTAGAAAGCCTAGTAAGAGCTTGATTAGGTAGCCCAGGTGTGTCTGATTGGGGTTGTAACTAATCTGGCAGGACCTCCAGGACAGAGATTGAGAACCCCTGCCATATATCGTGTGGAAGCAGAACATGTGTCTCCCGTTGTTTTGTTTTGGTGTAACAGTATGTTTTCTCCGTCTCTCAGCGTCAGGTGTTTTTCCGCAAGAAGCTGCAGCAGTCGTCTCATTCTATGCGAGCCGTGTCTCTCGGACAGGACCGGTACCGCCGCAGGTACCTCCTGCTTCCATACATGGGATGTATCCTAGTGGAGGGAGCAGAGGATATCTTGGGTGAGTGCAAAGTCTAGTATCTTGCACAAATTAAGATATGGGTCTTGTCATATCTGCCACTCTTGCGGTTTTAGCAGTGTCTACACCAGATGCTGTTGTCTGCTTCAAAGTCACCAGTAAAATTGTTCTATTTTTTATATTAGAATCAGTCCACAAACATTGAATATTTGTTTTCAAAATTTGGCGTCAAAAGTTCCATTCACTATACAGTACTGGAAAAACAAAACGTGCTTCTGAAGCATTCTGAATGTGATATAAACTCCCTGAGTCTCTCTGTGTGTATTTATAATCACGTTTTGTTTAAAATGCAAGTGAAACAACTAATAATAAATAAATGCAAATCTGCTGCTCTCGCAAGTAGACCTACACAGTTTGATGAAATTTGTGATTTGTCAATATGCCATAATGTTGATCATTTTTAATAAGAAACATGTCAGTGTAGGGCTGTGCAATTAATCAATTATCCGGTTTCGATTTTGATTTTGGCTTCTAACGATTATGAAAAAACATTCATTAAGATAAACGATCATTCCATCATAAACCGCCGCCTTTCCAGTTGTACACATTTGTTGCTCTGCAAAGCTCAGCTTCACATCAAAATAACTAAAACCATGTGCTGTGATGTATTGTTTGCAGCATGTGATGTGCATCATTCATTAATGTACATTTCAATCATTCGTGTTTTTAAATGCGCTAAAGAGCGCATGCTGTTGTGTGTGCGCGCGCTTAGCCTTGGAGACAAGCAGAGCGCACACATCTAAAGGCATCCTAATGCAGGCGCTTTAATGGGCAAATACATGCACATTTGTGTCAGATCGCGTTGCTTAGTGATTATCCATATTAACCTTCGTTTGTGTAATAAACAAACAAGTTGAAAGACAAGTGAAAGAGAAACCACTAATCAGAACCGCACTGTTTCTAAAGTGACAGCGCGCAATATTCCTGCGGCTGACTATTTTTATTATTAATCAAACAACAAAAGGACAAAATCCCTCACTGCTCTTGACTGAAAGACTTTTTTTACAAGGTGTGCGTGACGTGTCTGAAGAGCGAGGAGGGATGCAGTGGGGAGGGGTGAGAAAAGTGCACAACGTATTTGAGGACCGGGTGGGAGATTATCATATATTTCCGAGCATCCGAGAGTCTCTCTTTATTTGCGGGAGACTCCCGAGACCTCAGTGAGACTAGGGATGTCTGGTATGACCTCCCGCTAGAGGTGTGAACCTATACTGGTCTCACAGTTCGGTTACGATTATCATGCCATCAATTTGGTTTAATTCGATATCTTGGTGCATCGACGATGCTTTCCATACACAGTGTTGTATTTTGGGGGGAGGCTATAACAAGCTGTCTGTATAAACACACAGACACAGCATCACACTGTCTCTCATTCACACACATACACAAACATAGACAGCACCAAACACACACACACACACACACACACACACACACACACACACACACTTAAGCCCTCACAATATGCGTTTAGCCGGGAGAGCTTGTGCTGAGTGGAGAAAAAAAGAAAAAAAAAAAGGCGCAAAAATAAGCACTTTTGCGACGGTCCATTACTGAGAGCTCTGCTCCGTGTGAGCGCTCCCGGCTAAACGCATATTGCGAGGGCTTAAAAGGGAGCAGTGGTCATAATGTTGAGCGAAAAAATAGAAAAAGACAGTTGTGAAACATAACCAGCTTTGTCTTTTTGTAGGAAGCACACTTCAGATCTTTTTAGGGTAAGAGGTTTTTGAGTTATTGCCGCTATAACTGAATGTGTCTGGAATATCGAAAACAAAACCTACTTAATCACGCTCATTTCTGGCGCCCTCCTGGATGTACAGCGCCCTTAGCATTTGCCTATACTGCCTATACCACAGGCACCGAAAAAACAATTAATTTTGACACCCCTACCTCTCGCCCTACTCATAATTCTCTCTTCATCTAGCCGAATGCCTATTACATATCTATAAAACACTGTCATATACCCGGGCTCGGATCATATCGCTTTCTCACTACAATCGATCCGCTCCAGAGTTTGTTTCAATCGAGCTGAGACCACCTCATTCAAGCGATCTCGGAGCGATTGTTTTGGCTCTGATCCGAGCGTGATTGGTGGTTTTACATATGCCAAACAAACCGCACTAACTGGCCAAACAAGACAGGTTCTGAAACAAAAGTGTAGGTTTGAAAGCACCCTAAATCATGGTCCTGTGTGAAAAACTGCTAAAATGTACACTTTTATTGTAAAAAATGTATTAGATATTCATTTAATATGAATACGTTAATAAAGGTATTAATCTCCATCATTACTTTGTGTTTAGCGTCAGGTGAAGTGACAGTCACTGATGAACCTGTGACTTACGTGAAGGTCATAACTCCAGCAAAAGCTGAGGTTAAAGCGGAACCTCCACTGTCTCCTGGCTTCTGCACATCGTCTTCTCCTCAAGGGTCTCGGCTTTCCCTCACAGATCTGGATGCTCTTCCTGGCGAGGCGTCTCTGATGAGCACCCCCAGAGGACGGGGGCGTCCACGGAAGATCAAACCGGAGGTTGAGCTTCATCTGCGCACCGCCAAGAACCGCCGGCGCCGCCGCAGCAGCAGATCGGCAGGTGAAGATTCAGGCCTGAGTTCTCCGTTGCAGGATCTCCCTCTACCTGCTCTCCAGGCCTCCGTGAAGCAACCGCAGGATGACGAGGCTGACGCTAGTGCACCGATCGTAGCCTCTGGAGCCGGTCAGGGTGAAGACAACAGCCAGCCGGAGGACAGCATGCGGGAGCAGGCAGAGAAACGAGGCCAGTGGTTCAATCTGTTGCCTAAAGAGCCGTGTGATGAAACGTCCCTCTCTCAGCCATGTGAAAACACACCTGCATCCGCTGACGGCGCTCCAGCACCCGTCAATGGTGACCTGCTGACCGCAGATCCAGCACAGCCCCTGAAACAAGAGGTTTGACATTGAATAATAATAATATCATAGTTTTTATACCTTCATCCTACTGACGGATTTTCTCTTCTCGTCCTCAGGTTACAACAGAAGCACTTCCTCTTACATTTCCACTTCCGGTTTCTGTTCCCGTTCCTCTGTCGAGCTCTGCCCCGGCTCCTCGTGGCAGACGGCGCAGGAGAGGCAGCGGGCCCTCCCGAGTGCACTCTAGAACCGGCACGGCCAAACGGCGTGGCAGACCTCCCTCCAAACTCTTCCAGGAGGTCCAGCTCAAGTACTTCACTCAACTGGTGGTCCGACCTATTCCGTTAGGTGAGCACTGTGGATTGGGCAGTATGCCTGAAAAGGGTTTCTGGTGGTCCTCCATGCATAGTTTTTTCTGTTCTCTGTGTTTGTGCAATGTCAAAATTTACTTTTGATGTAAGCTTTGGAATGAAGTGTAGCATTAAAATGTGAACATCATCTGAAAGCTGCATAATTTAGATTTCTATTGATGTATAGTTCGTCATTTTAGGACAATATTTGGAGACGCAGGTATTAGAAATATGGCAGGGTTCAATGCTGAATATTTTTTCTAGTTTTGTAAAAGTTTTCACTGGTTAGTAGCTAAATAGTTAATCAGCTTTTATCGTGAGCTTCAAGGTTTTGATAATGAGTTGCGATTTAAGCATGTCCAAAATTAATTTTTGTCCAGCACTACCCAAAATATACCCGTACAACATGAGATTATAGTTTTGTGGTGCAGGTCACAAATGTCTCGCTATCTTTAAAACTTCAATGACGCACTCCCTGTGATGCAATATATACAATTTTGAGGGATGTAAACAAAAACAATGGTTAAATGTATTTCCTGTTTTACATTTTTAATTTTTATAGCTTCTGAGAATCCAAAAAAAGCCACATATTGATAAATAATGTCATGATATCTGTTTTAACATTACGTTATGATTGAATCGTCTCTTGTTACAGTTATGAAATAGTTTGATAACAAGCAGGAAATGTTCACGGGTCAATGGCATGACCACATTAAAATGGTCCATATGTATTGGTATAGGTATGGAGTACAGTAGACACGTTAGATTCAGTACCTACAAAGTCTGTTGGTGTAACATTTCAAACTAAACAGGATGTCAGCCATTTTGGGATTTTCTCTGCTAAAATTGTGCATTTTTTTTTTAGCATTTTGTCTTCTGTTGACTTTTATTTTGGGCCACAAGATGGCATAATGCCCTTTCATCACTGCTTGCAGATTTAATTAAAACTAAAACTATTTAAAACATTTACATTTTAAACAAAAATAATAAACATTACACGCATCATTGGTAACTAACTGGCATGTTTAAAAAAAAAGTTTACCTAAAAAAACATACTGTTTTTGTTGATGAAAAAATAAATTATTTTGAAGAATGTAGTTAACTGGTAGCATTGACATTCTTAGGAGGGAATGCTTAGAAGTTGATCGCTACATGTTTTCAAGATTTTTTTAAAGTATCTTTTGTGTTTAACTAAAAAAATAAAAAATAAATGGAAACTCAAACTGGTTTGGAACAAGTGGAGGTTAAATACACAATGACAGAATTATCTTTTTTGGATGAGCTGTCCTTTTAATTTTAACTACAAATACCAAAAAAAAAAAAAAAGAGAATAAAAACAAACTAAAACCAAACCTAAAATAAAAATGTAACTACATTAAACAAAAGAAAAGGTGAACTTTAGTATAATTGCAATTTATAGTATTTTAGGATTATCACATTTGTTTCTGATATGCTTAATAGCAGAATAATTAGAGATATTTTTAGAGAAACTATAAGTTTTCTTGAAAGTCAAGTTTACATACAATAAGATTATTCTGCCTCTGAAAAAGCTCAAATGATGGTGTCAAGGTTTTGGACGTTTCTGATTGGCTAATTGACAACATTTGAGTTAATTGGAGGCACAATTGTAGAATAGTATTTAAGGATTAATTTTGATTTTGTTTTTAATATAAAACTATAGAAGTAAAACATAATGCTAATTCATAAGACTCGCATTAAAATTCTAACTGTATAAATAAAAAGACATCAACAAATTGTTTTAATGTATATTTTGAATATTAGCTGCCCAATCTTTTTTTTTATTTAAATAATTCATAAAATAATAATTTTTTATAAGTCAGTGTTAGTGTGATGTGCATTATCATTCAGAATATTGAAGAGATGTTTCTCTAAAATGCTGCCTTTAATACTAAAGTTCATGAGAAAAAGCTGCTCTTCAAATATAAGATCTTTAAACTCTTAAACATTACTAAAGCTTAAGAACAATGTGTTGGATGGCATTGTAAATCTGTAAATGTGTTTGTGTGCTGCAGAGATGGTGAAGGGCTGGTGGTGGATCAGAGAACCAGAGGAGCTGACGGCCATTCTGAGCGCTCTTCACCCGCGGGGCATTCGAGAGAAGATGCTTCACAAACACCTCAGTAAACACATGGAGTATCTAGCCGAGGTCTGCACACGCTCTGTAAACGGTGAGTCGGAGACAAATGTGCAGGACTTATTGGTTGCGTCCGAAACTGCCTACTACTCAGTAGGTACTGCATTTGAATTTAAACGTACTACTCTGCCGTTAGAAAAGTACCTTCTATACAGAATGAATGTGAAAAGTATAAATGGAATTCGGATGTATTACATCCGCCATTTTGACAAAGTCATGTGACGTACCTGCGTCATTTGCGTCGCTTAACTCCCATACATGAATTCGCTCGCGGGGCATCATGGGATAGCGCAGCGTGCATGGGATGCGCACTCCAGAATCTCGCCAGAAGTAGTAAGTCATCCAGGTACTTCTCGCATACTGATTTTCGAATTCTATGAATTCGGACATACTACTCTGCTCGCATACTGATTTTAGCGTACTATATAGTATGGAAGTATGCGGTTTCGGACGCAGCCCAATGGAACATCACTAACCTTAAAAAAATCAATCATTTTGAATGTTTAGAGTGTAGTCAAATTAATCCTACAATTTAAGCCTGACCCGATCTGAACTTTCGAGAGAGTACCTAGCACAACAAAAGGGTACCAAAAGGTGGATCGACATGCGCAGCTGAACGCTATTGGTTTTTTAGAGATACGTCACTAGCGCATGTACAAGCTAGTAGAATGAAAACAAAGGAAGCGCCATTTTTAAATGCACAGCTGAAACATTACACCATAATAATATACACTTATAATAACGGGCAATGGTCGACTTGAGCTCAAACAAACCCTATCGTGGACTTGATGAACCTCCACAAAGCCAAGAAGATAAACCTGCTGTCATGTTGTTATTTACGAGGTCGCCTAAAAGTGCTTGTGGTTTCACTTTCTCTAAAGAGTTTGTGAGCTCTCGTGCGTGTCTATATTTGAATAACGAATTTGAGCTGATGATATTAACGTGTGCGTGATTATTGAAGAGCTTCTGACATCTGATCCTTTCAGAAACGAACAAACGAGAGTGCAAAACATCAGATCTGTGTCTGATTTAAGACTACATATGAAAGTGGCATAAATCTGAACTAAAAAGATCAGATTTCATGCGGTTTGGACTGTTCACAATGCCTTTACCTGAGTCACATGTGGACAAAAAAAAATCAGATTCAGGCCACATTTGGCTGCCGTGTGAACGTAGCCTTAGTAACAAACCCAAACCAGATGAGCACAAAAAACCTGTTCATCAAGTTGACGACAAGGTTTGTTTGAGCTCGGGTTGACCATGGCTCGTCATCATATGTGTATATTATTACAGAATAATGTCTCAGTTGTGCATTTAAAATGAAAATGAAAAAGTAGTTTGATGTTGTAGAAGAATAACGCGCACACACCTAATGAGACTTCAGTCTTGAAGAGTTGGTTTGTTTTTTCAGATCCGATCTTCCAGATGAAGGTGGAGGACGGGGATGCCCTGCAGGAGGTGAGTAAGCAGGAGTGGCAGGAGCAGGAGCGGGTGCTGCAGCTGGACATCAGTGTTCTCCAGTGGGTGGAGGACCTGGAGCAGAGGGTGGTCGGTGCAGACCTGCAGCTCAAGGTGAGGAAAACACATCACACGCTTTCAAGACACTCCTCACTTTATTTTATTTTTTTATTTTTTGAAAGTATTTGCCTTTGCCATTTCGTCCTTGATGTGACAGTCTGGTAATCACAGTACATGAAGTGTAAGCAAAGGACACTCTAAATCCAGATGTTTAATGGAGTTTATCCAAAAATGAAGATTTGCTCGTAATTTACTGCTGGCCATCCAGCATGTTGGTGACTTTTGCATCAGTAAAATGTTAAAGAGAAATGTTGAAATTAAAGTTTAATTAATGTTAAAATTAAAACCTTTTTTTAAATGTTAATATCAGTATTGTTAGTTTTATTGAAATCTATAATGTAGCATGCTCAAAAACAGTGACAATTTACATTTAGAAAATATAGACCTAAATATACACATCTAAAACTTGTAACTTCTGCCTAATTAATTAACGACTGATCAACGATACTTTAGTTCAGGGGTTCTCAACTGGTTTGGCCATGGGACCCACATTTTTTTACATGGTCATCAAGCCGCGACCCAAATCTTTAGGAACTATTATACAATTTTAGGAATTATAATTAATTTGTATTTATTTGTTAACACACAAGTAGTGACAGACAAATCATAAAAATTGCCAAGACTTACAAATAAACACTATTTTATTGCTGTCATTTAACAAGATGAATCAAATTAAAGAGTAAAAGCGACAAATATTGTAAACAGTGTCAGGGTAAGGAAAGGTTCAGTTACCATTAACTAAACAGTTAATAAAACATGTTGTCTAGTTTCAAAATGTCGTTTTAATTTAGTAGGTTTCATGCTCTCTTGTGAGAGCACGTCACTACTTATGACACACTGAGGCTTTAAGTCTTTTTTTTGCCGTCAATATATGTAAATCCATACTTTACATATTCAGGGTCGTACTTGTGCTTTGACTTATTTGTTGCTATATCATGTCATATGCTATATCATTAAATGAAATTTTATATGTCAAACGGTAAGGTTGTCGTGCACGCTTTTCAAAATAAGTCAAAATAAGTTAAAAATTAAACTTTTGTTGTTTTTTTGACCACTCAGTCCGTGACCCACTGTAAATGTTCCCACGACCCACTTTTGGGTCACGACCCACCAGTTGAGTAACACTGCTTTAGTTTATCTTTAAATCTTGACTAATCAGATGCTTTCTAGTATCTGACATGTCCCGCCCCTTTGACACTTCATTTGATGCACTTGATTTCAATCACTCTCACAGTGAGGAAAAACAGCATGCTATTGGCTGTTTTAAGAGGAGGAGCTACTCTCTCATGTTTCGGTTGTCAAACATCGACTAAAAGTGCATGTTTTAAAGCACTTCACAGGACCTTTAAAGACAATCTTAGCTGAAGCTGTTTTAGCTTTTGAATTTTCTTTTCTTTTTGATTCCTAATGCAAGTCAAAATAATTTTTTTTGTGGTTTTGTGTTTGTACATGCATTTTTGGCTCTTAAACTAATACCTGTGGCTTCAGGCGATACATTGAGGTCTTTATTATGGGAAGCAACTTGTCTGGCATGAGACTGAACATTGTTTGCACCATTTTCTACTAAAGTAAAAAGTCACTCACAACCAGTGTTGGGGAAAGTTACTTTTAAAAGTAATGCATGACAATATGGAGTTACTAACTAGTTACTTTTTATAGTAAGTAATGTGTTGTGTTACTTTTGCGTCATTTTTTTATAACCTGGCTGAGGCTTGATCTCTTTCAGAACTTGTGTCTTTCTTAATTTTTAAATAGAGGTGTTCTGCAACAAACAAAGCACTGTATAACCTACACCTCCATACAAAAGACAGAATAATCATAATCAAGAATAAAATCATGATATTGTTATCTGAGAACTTCCTGAGCCCAGAGCTCTACATGCCGTATATACAGATCATTGAAAGCTTAAAGCAACGCGTTTGATACTTTTGTACTATTTAAGTAAAATCACTGTCCATTGAGACTATAATCCAATTTTCCTTTTTTTGATTGGTTCACAATAACAAATCAATCTGCAACATCCCGTTCTCCCTCGTAAAGCTGATACGGAAGTAACTGAAACTGCAATTCATTGACTCGCCTTTGGGGCCTGGCTCCAGGTAATCTAGATGTTCTCTGACTGCTACGCTAAATTGGCTAATTTTACAGCTGATAAAAACATGTTTACTGCCTAGTTCAACAGACGATGTTGGTGTATAAAGCTAATATTACCCTTTATGACAACTGTGAGGGATTAAATTTTTTTTTCTCATTTGTTTTGTTTATATTAAGTTATATTGAGTCTGCATAATTAAGGGCGTGGCCACTTGAGCGTTATGTCACCACAGCTGATTCCAGCTGATTAGCTGCTGAACTTAGCATATACGGTACATCGTATTTTTGTTTTGTTTAATGCGTCTTTACACAGTCAATTGCTTTTTGGCATGCTGTATGCACTGAATTTTGCTCGCAAGCCATTTAAGTTGCCTCTATTTCTCAGGTGAGTGAAATTCTTACATGTATACCATCTCTATAAATGTATTTGTTTTACTTAAGGTAGTTTATCATCTATATTTTTCCTCAGAGCTGCTCCAGAATCTGACAGATTGATTAGCTGCAGGCTCTAGAAGAGTCATCTGAAGTGTAGTCATACTGTGTTAAGTTGGATTTCATAAACAGTCTCGCATTTACTAACACAGACAATCTAAAGTATTTGGAAGTATTTTGGTTTTCCTACTGTAGTAAAACGTCATAAAAACAATGTTTAGTGGCTCAATTAGTCGCAGGTAATGAAATATTAAGCCTTTCTCCCAAAGAAAAGCTTGTCTAAGCAAAATGCTAGCAGGTTTCTGTAGCTCCACTGATACTTCATCTCTTAGCCCTTGTTTGGTATCCCCCCGGTTGACACAAACAAAATGGCGAGGGTTGGCCACGCCCACTTATAGCTTTATTTGCACTCTTTAGAAACCTATGTTTGACGTCACGGACACTACGTCCATCTGTTTTACAGTCCATGTAATGAACACCCTTTCATTAATTGCATGATTCATTGTGCCTACTTTAGTCTTAATTCAGCAAATAATTATTTTAAAGCTAATTAATTCATCTAAAAAGTAACTCGCGTTTCATTTTCAAAAAGGTTAAGTATTATTAATTATTTTTAAAAGTTATGCATTACTTGTTGCTTTTAAAGTAATATTAAGTATTCGTTACCCTCAACACTGCTTACAATGTGCCTTTTTGGCTGACATGTCCCTTTAATAGGGAGAGACTTTTTTGTTTTGTGACTATTCCAGTAGTGAGCACAAGATGGCAGTGTTTGTATGCACAGTATCACGTGTGCCTCGTCTTTATTTCCAGGTGGCTATTCCCAATGCAGAGAATGAAACTGAAGCTGGTCAGGAATCATCAAACACACAGTTTCAGGTAGTGAAATCTGCTCTGTTAGTTACATTTAATGATTATAACAATTTATATAATTTAAGTTTAAATTAAGTGTAAATGATTAGCATTGTAGTTTATTTACTGCCATGTGATTTTTGTCGAATAACCCTCCTGATTACATTTCCCCTCTGATTTCTGTCTTCACTGTATAGAGAGTAATAAATGATTACCATTGTGAAGTGATGGTAATACAACTATTATAATAGTAGAATGATACATTAATTTATATTAATAATACTTAAGTATAGTTAATGCAAATTAAGCCTGGTTTATACTTCTGCGTCAAGTGACCGGCGTAACCCACGGCGCATGCAACGCGCGTAGCTGTGCATTTATACTTCTGCGCACTGTCTCTCTTGGTCTGCATTAACACTTCCACAACGCTAATTGACAGTGAGGTGTAAATGTTCCTCTGTGTCGAGTTTCTTCGCTGATGTTTTGCTTTTCCTGAACACTTCCGGGATGTACAAGTGGCTCAAACTCGCTCACTTTGAGGCAGGAATCGGCGGGCGTGCAACAACTTTAACTATGAGGTAAACACAAAACAAATCTTTCCATCCGGAGCTCCTTCATGGGACTCCACACTTGTAAACAATCGCTCCATCAGGCTTGCACCATTCGCGCGTTTCTCGGTCCCGCCCAGACTCGTCAGCGCTATCAAGCCGACCAGTCACAGAGCTTGCGCTACGCATCGTTGCGACGTGTAGTTACATTTTTTTAAAGGTGCACGTCAGCGACGCCAACAGCCACGGCGAAGGGCTATGCGTCAGCGACGTAGCATACGCCTGCGTTTGACGCAGAAGTATAAATCAGCCTTTACTTGGTTTAATTATAATTTTCTGTGAAACTTTGTATTTTATCTTTAGCAATATTTATTATTACTATTTGGTAGTCACAATTTGTATGAACATAATATTTTATATATTTTTTAGAAATATAATCGATAATTTTTTTTTTTGAAATTTGTAAAAATAAAATCCCATTTATTATTGTAATGGCATCATTTATTAATATAATAAATAAAATAATAATTTAGTGATTTAAAATAAAAACTTATGTTTTTTTAGATCAGTTCTTATTGTAGGCCACTAAATCAGCATCAAGAAGCCTTCAGAGCAGTCATGACCAGTGTTGAGGGGTAACGCGTTTTAAGTAATGCACATAACGTAATATAACTTTTTTAATGTAACGAGTAAAATAACGCATTTAAAAAACATAATTGTAAAAATAAGTTATTATTTGACTTAAATGTAAGGCGAGTTACTTTTAACTTGCTTAACTGGCTTTTAAAAAATATATTGCGGAATAAAAATGACCTCAGTCAGGTGGAATCACACACTCAATGAAAGAGAGTGCTGCGAGGGAACACAGTCTGCTTACACTCATCATCATCATCAGTTTTTTTCTTTTTTTCACAGCAGATAAGTCAGTGTACTGTTCTAGTAACTGAATAACTGGTTTGTTTCGAGTCAGAGTATCTGTTATGTTAAATAGTAAGTATTAAGTACTTATTGAAGACACAAACCATTTCTTGACAACCCTGTTCAATTTAATGAACTGGTTCAACCCTTTCACTTAAAATATCCGGTTAAAACAAACGATTCATTCGTGAATCACCCGTCATCACTACAGACAGTCAGAAACAGAAACAATGGCAGGACTTACATTTTTGCAAAGGATCAAAGAAAATAAGTGGATTGACGTTATGTGTTGATCATATGCAAGTAAAACTCTTGACAACAGCAAGAAACTCGACATCGAAAAAACAAACAAAACTGGATGCAAAACACCACACCCCACCTCCAGCTAAACGACAAATGACTGACATCAGTTCACGTTCTCCAGGTAATTAATTTGACACAAAAAAGGTCATTGCTTTTATTGTTGAGAAGATGCAGTCACTGTCTACTGTTGAAACGACTTACGTTTTGTAATAGAGTATGATTATTTTATTTTTTGGGAAGCGGTTTACACATTTGTTAAGGCCATGTGAAGCAATTTATTATATTATATGAAGCTCAAAGATTTATTTTGATTTGGGGATGTTTTTATTGTCTTAATGTTATTAAACATTTTAAAGGTTTAAAATCTGTTTTTGTCTTAATAAATGACTTTATGTTCGTACTCTTGGGCTTTATTGCTATCTAATCTCAATGGACAGTGAATTTACTAAAAACGCAAAACGTATAAAAGTAGCAAACACATTACTTGACATGCTTTCATTAATCTGCATATACAGCATGTAGAGCTCTGGGCTTAAGTCTCAAAATATAATTTTATTCTACATTTTTTTTAAAGGGAAATGAAGGTGTAGATCAGGGGTCACCAATCTCGGTCCTGGAGGGCCTTCAGGGTTTAACTCCAACTTGCCTAAACACACCTGCCTGGATGTTTCAAGTATATTAAGTAAGACCTTGATTAGCTTGTTCAGGTGTGTTTGATAAGGGTTGGAGCTAAAATCTGCAGAACACTGGCCCTCCAGGAACAAGTTTGGTGACCCCTGGTGTAGATTATATAGGAGCTGTTAAATGCAAAGCGTCTCTATAAAAAAGGTGAAAAACACCTGCAAGTTCTGAAAGAGATCAAACCTCAGCCAGGTTAGGTAAAGTAACTGAAAAGCAATAAAATGCATTACTTTCCATAAAGTAATTGGTTACTTTAATTAGTTACTTCTTTGGGGGAGGAACTCAATATTGTAATGCACTACTTTTAAAAGCAACTCTCCCCAACACTGGACATGACAATAGAAAAAACAAGCAAATCAATTAAAACATGAAGGTGTTTTTAACCACACAGTGCTTTTGTCCTGGTTGCAGATCTTTACTCCTCCAGAACCAGACTCCACACGAGAAGACCTTCAGTATTACGAGCATGAGGTCGACCCTCGGGACGACTGGATCGTCAAGACCAAGAAGGAATGGTCAGACCTGCTGCGAGTTCCTAGCAACCCCCTGGACCTGGCCATCCTCCGGCTCGCTAACCTGGAGCGTAACATCGAGCGGCGCTTTCTGAAGGAGCCGCTGTGGAATGCAGCAGATGTGGTGCGTCTGGCACCTCTCACCCCTCCACCTGGCGGAGAGGAGGTCCCGCTTGATGCTGTCAGGTGGGTGAAGTCCCTTTATCCCTTCAAATAATTCTAGGACACCACTGTAATGTTCGCATATTCATGGCGTAAGAAAACAATGCTGAAGTAAAACAATTGTAATATGAAATAATGAAGTCTCCTGCCACAAGACATTTATATCCGACATGGTTTTCTGACAAGTCGCCGGGCCGTTGGAAGATTAAGCACATAACAGTAATGTAAATATTATTATAGTAAGATGTCTTAAGATTTACTACAATCATCATGGTGAAATTAACCATGCTTTTGCAATACTAACTACAGTTTGTTTACCATATTTTTACTAAACTTACCATCAGAGGTGTGGTTTTTAGTTTTTAACAGCATATAGGCTAGTTTGTAACAATAGATGGTGTTCTAGGCTAGTGTTTTTTTTTTTTACGGCAGACCTCACTCTAGCCTAGTTTTTAGCATTAGTAGGTGCTCTAGGCTTGTTTTTAACAGCAGATGTCATTCTACACTAGTTTTAACAGCAGATGGCATGCTAGGCTAGTTTCTATTAGGAAACTAAGTCTAACTAGGCTAGTTTTTGACAGCAGATGGCAGCCTAGACCAGTTTTGCTAGTTTTAACAGCAGACATCACTAGAGTCTAGAGCAGGGGTGTCAAACTCAATTCCTGGAGGGCCGAAGCCCTGCACAGTTTAGTTCCAACCCTGCTCCAACACACTTACCTGTAGGTTTCAAACAAGCCTGAAGGACTCAATTAGTTTGATCAGGTGTGTTTAATTAGGGTTGAAACTAAACTGTGCAGAGCTGTGGCCCTTTTGGAATGGAGTTTGACACCTGTGGTCTAGAGTCTAAGGGTGTACTCGCACTATGCTATCCGAACCATTCCTAGGCCCATTTCCCGGATCGTTTGAGAAGTGTGAATGCTCTGAATCGGGCTCAGGCACGGTTCACTTGGCTGCCCCTTCAGCAAACCTCCTAATTCCTGCAGCACGAGGACTTTATGATTGTTTATGAGCGTCAATAGTGGCTGATCTTTTCTGTGAAATATTTGACTGTGTGTCACTGCATATCAAACGACTTAAACGATAGAACTAAAGAATTGACGACTGTGCTGAGCGAGGGCGCTTACCGAACAGCGCATCATCGATGACGTAATCGTGCTCAGACATGAATACAATGTGAGTGCGGGCCATCGGGGCAGATGAGAGGGGGGACAATTGTGCTTCGGCCCGGTTCAAGGCAACTGTACATGTTGTTAGTATGCCCTATGTACAGTTGCCTTGAACCAGGAACGAAGCACGCTTGTCCCCCTCCCGTACTGCGCCAAAGCCCTAGTGAACCACGCTTTGGCACACTTCTTCCAACTGTGCCTGGGCATGCCAACTGAACTGTGCCTGAGTCCGATTCAGAGCACTCGCACTTCTCAGATAATTTGGAAATTTGGCCTTGGCATAGTGTGAGTACACCCTAACTAGGCTAGTTTTTAAAAGCAGATGGCAGCCTAGACTAGTTTTGCTAGTTTTTAACAGCAGACATCGCTAGATTAGTTTCTAGCTAGAGACCGAGTCTAGAAACTAGGCTACTTTTTAACAGCAGATGGTGTTCTAGACTAATGTTACTAGTTTTTAACAGCAGATGGCGTTCTAGTTTGCTTTTAAAGTGTTTACTCTCTGGGCTGACAGCGTTGAAGGGGATAAAGAGTGGTGTTGAAAAAGGCAATGTTTTAGAATGCACATTTGAGTCATTTTAACGAGACTAAAGTAGGAGAGTCTATCTCACTTTTTGTTTCTGGTTAACTCGCACAGAACACGAAGATCAGATCATTAAGTGTGTTTTTGGATCATGTCAGTGATGTATGTGTTTTTATTTGTGTGTGTGTCTGTAGTTTGGAGAGTGAGATCACACCCAGGTTGAGGACGTGGCGTCAGGGTCTGGACCGCTGTCGCAGCTCGTCTCAGCTCTCTCTCTGTCTGCTGCAGCTGGAGAAGGCCATTGCCTGGGAGAGATCCATCATTAAAGTGGTCAGAGCAATCATACATACACTGTGATTGACCCTCTCAGTAATTATCATACACATATATGACCTCTCTGTAAAATAACACATTCAGTACAGCACACAGAAAGATAAACGTCCATCAGCATATGGGATCAAAATCCTACCAAATGTTTCGCCCATTCGTTTTATTGGCAAGAGGAGCAACTGAAACTATATGAAACTCGAATTGTGTCTTTTGGGAACACAAGTGCAAAATGTGGAAACGAACGAAGGGGAAAAGACCAACTGATTTAGTTTGCAATGGAATTCTTAATTCTAAACAAAATTTCATTATTGATTCCTGCTCATTTTCATTTTGTTTTCGCTTTTGCATGTTATAATTTTACACGTGATATAATTTTTTTTAATTTACACTTATCATTATTCGATCCACAGCACATACATTTGGTAGCTATTTGATCCCATATCAGCATCAGGAGTTTGTTTACATGCAGACAGAGAACACAAATGTTTAAAGCAGGGGTGTCAAACTCAATTCCTGGAGGGCCGAAGCCCTGCACAGTTTAGTTCCAACCCTGCTCCAACACACTTACCTGTAGGTTTCAAACAAGCCTGAAGGACTCAATTAGTTTGATCAGGTGTGTTTAATTAGGGTTGGAATTAAACTTAGCAGAGCTGCAGCCCTTTTGGAACTGAGTTTGACACCTGTGGTTTAAAGGATTTTTTGACACTTTGACTTGAGATGCATTTGAAGATCACCATAACCACAAGTATAGCACCTTACCACCATGGTAACATTTGTGTTTTGTTTTAAACAGAATCTTGAAGACATTCAATAACAAATAAAGCTATCTTAATCTTTTCAGTCATATAAGAGCAAGTGTACTATGAAGACAAAATAAATGCCGAAATCAAACACTTGACGTTCTCAGATGGTGTGACTCTATCTTAAATGTTGTAAAGTGTGTAAAAACGATACGTGTGTGCCCTCAGACTTGTCAGGTGTGTCGTAAGGGTGATGATGATGAGTATCTGCTGTTGTGTGACGGCTGTGATCGTGGGTGTCACATGTTCTGCCTGAGGCCGAAGGTCCTCCAGGTGCCAGATGGCGATTGGTTCTGTCCCAACTGCGTTGCCAAGGTAATGTCGATAAACTAAAAATGTGCATCTGTTTTTGTTTGAGAAACTCTTAAGTCTTAAAATAGTTTGTATTTTAATAAAGTGTTCTATTGCATAACGTCTAATTCTCCAATTGTAGATTTTTATTGTTATTGTTTGAAGGTCACGAGTGGCTCTGTAAGCATTTCACCGTGTATTAATCTGTGCATGACTCAGTATGGTGACATCCAGTTTGAATTTGATGTAACAAATCCGGATGTTTTCAGAAAACGGGTGAATCTCCAAGATCTCAGCGCTCGTCACGCCAGAGGTCGAAGGTGCGCAAGCGGCGTCTGGGAGAGGACAGTTCGGATGAGGAGGAAGGCTTCAGACGGAGCATGACCACCCGACAGAAGGAGACTCCAGCTCCCTCCAGCAGCAGCAGCAGCACCAGCATCTCTCCCTCCAAACGCAGACGGATGACCACACGAAACCAGCCTGACCTCACATACTGCGAGTGAGTCCTCAGCCTGCAGACACATGCCACAATTAGATCACTACAATATTTTAGTTTTTTAGGATCTAACAATAAAACTAATAGAATAGTTTGTTCTAATAGCTGCTTTTTCAGTAACCTGTTGCTTTTGTTTATATCACAGGAGAAATTTATGGCTGTCACACACGGCTTTCTTTTTAACCATACTGTGACTTTATTGCTTGGCAAATGGATATAGATTTTGTAGCGGTATTTGGCTAATAAAGTGGGTTGGGTGCCAGGGGTTAAAAAAAACCCACTACAGTTTCTCAAATAATTCAATTAAATAAAAAATGGAGATGTTGTAGGTTTTTTGGGAATATAAACTTGGGTATCGTCTGCATAAAAATGAAAATGTATGCCAAAAGAATGAAATATATGACCTAGAGGTAAGATATAAATAATAAATAAAAGTAGAAGTGATTAGTAGGTGTTTTATAAAAGACGCTTCAAATGCTGAATTTGAAGAAGGTTGCTTGTTTTTTGCTTTTATTATTTGTGCCGTTATTAATTGGTTACATATAACTTTCATTTTCAAGTAAAAGTGTTTATTCATTTTAATAGTAAAAAATATGTTTTTTTTTGTATACATAAACACGTACACAGTGATCAGCATATATGAGTACACCTCACAAATCTAAATATTTTTATAAGATGCTTTTGCACACATTAGTTAGTCAGTACTAAAGCCAGATCTGGAACTAATCTAACAAGATAACAAAAAAAGATAACGGTCCAAAACTTTGTACACACAAATGTGTTACAGAAAAAAACTAGAAAACATCAAGAGAAATGTAGTTTAAATTTGTAGTTTGTCATTTATTTATTTTACTTGCAATATTTTGCTTGAATTTAAAAGTGTTATCTTCCTATTTTTAAAGATGTTCAGTGACTAAAATGTAATCAGTTTTGTTCAAATGCACCAACATATTTTAGCTATATTCACTGAGAAAAGGATAAAAATGTTTATTTTAAAAATGGGGTGTACTGAATTATGCTGAGCACTGTAAATAATTAATCATTTCCTAATATTCCTATCAAATAGTTGCATATTTAATGTTCAGTCAAATTATTTTGAAAACATTTTTCAATTTTACAAGTAATTAAAAAAAATCCATTATGTTTTTATTGATTATTACATTTATAATTTTTGGTATTATGTGGTCATATAATGAGATATTTAAGTGGTCATTCAAACAAGTTTCATTGTTCAGATGTTCTGTAAAATTAATCTAAAGAATGAAACGTCTGTTGTCATGCTTTGAAGCTTCATCTGTGTCGATGATTAATGGCTGACGTGGAATAATTATCGGGCTCTTTGATGTGCTTTAGGATCATTCTGATGGAAATGGAGGCTCACTCAGACGCCTGGCCTTTCCTGGAGCCGGTCAATCCTCGCATGGTGCCGGGATACAGACGCATCATCAAAAACCCCATGGACTTCCTCACTATGAGGGAACGACTTCTGCAGGGAGGGTAAGCTGCTTCTCACTTCTCAAATGTGGGATTTACTGTGCTGGACAAAATTATTAGAAAATAAATCATCAAAAAAAGTTTTAATAATGGAAGTGAATGCAGACTGTACTGAAACATACTGCTCAGTGGACATAGCCATAAAAAAAGATCATCATCTCATGCCACTATTTCAGCCTTCCAGAACAATGCGTGTGCCTCTAAACCAGGGCTATTCAATTAGCGGCTCGTTGGCCGAACCCGGCCCCCGAGTCGATTTGCTCTGGCCCTCCAAATAGTGTGACCAAGACATAGAAATAAATTTAGTTCAGTCGAAAAACAGCCGCTATAGCTATGAAGTGACGTACATCTGTTAAATACAGTATAAGCTGCAGAGGCTGCGCAGAGTGTGAGTCACCATAAGCGAGTGGTGTGGGCAGCCGAAAACATTTGGATATGTTTTGTAGGAAATGCCTTTTGTACAATGCACTGTAATCATTAATAGGGATGCAACGATTAGCTGATTTCACTATTAACTGCGCTTTAATTCGTCACAGTTAATGAATCGTAAAGGCTTCTCAAAGACGCATTTCTGTTGCACGGAAAAGTTGACAAGTTAAAGTGCCAAGTATGTACACCGAGGCTAATACGCAATTGAATAGCCCTGCTCCAGACCAATTTAACAATAGGTCACGTTTACAAATTCAGATACTGGTTAGGACAGTAAGGAGCTTGGTTCACTACACATTGGGAGTGTCACGAGAACGTCCTCATTGTACATCATTAAAACCATGAAATTATAAAACAACAGCAGAACTTCTACATTTCATAGATTTATTTTACTAAAGGTCTTTGCACACTGAAGTTTGACATTTTTGTATGTGTTTTTTTTTTTTTGTATTCATATTTAAAAAATTGGTCGCATACACAAACCTTGGACTCTGAGTCTCATGCGAATTCATTAATTCATTCAAGTCAATTCAGGAAGTGATTCTTCTCCCTTCTCCAAAGTAGAAAAAGAAATAGGTGCTACGTATTTGCTGCGTTTGAAACCGCATACATCCATACTATATAGTACTCTAAAATCAGTATGTGAGCCGAGTAACATGTACGAATACAAAGAATTTGAAAATCAGTATGTGAGAAGTACCCGGATGACTTCCGGCGAGATTCTAAAGTGTGCATCCCATGCACACGGCGCTGTCCCATGATGCTCTGGGAGAGAATTCATGAATAGGAGTGAAGCGACGCAGGTAGGTCACGTGACCATGACAAAATGGCAGATGTAGTACGTCCGAATTCCATTCATACTTTTCGCATTCATACTGTATAGAATGTACTTCCCTAACGGCTGAGTAGTACGTTTAAATGCAAATGCAGTACCTACGGAGTAGTAGGCGGTTTCGGACGCAGCCTAAGTGTTTATCCAATATACACTACACAGAAAGGAAGTGGAGTTCTCATTAAAGAGCTGCTCTGGATTATCCCCAAATGCAAAGTTTATTTCAGTAAATCAGTTCAACTTTGATACATTGCCTGTGATACTGTACACATTTGCGTACGTAAACAAATCCTGAACAGACTCAGGGACTGGGAGTACCATAGATATTATAATTGATGGCAGCTGAGTTGGCATTAGAGCAACGTGATGTCACAACAGCAATATAAGAGCCCATATGCTGTATTTTTTTTTGCTCCTTAAGACACCCATGTTGGATTTTTCCACATTAAAATGTTAATATATTGTATTTTGAATCTATATCAGGGTTCAACGCTAAGGATTTTTTTTACTGGCCCGATCGGACCAGTGGTTCAGATTTTTACTGGCTCTGCCAATATTTTCACTGGCCCCACCAAAAAAAAGTTAATAGCTATTTCTTAGCCACACATATTTGAAAAATGTTTGTAAAAGTAGAATTTAAATATTATAAAAAATGTTAATTAATGTATAATGAGCAAAACTCTTAAGTGTTATGCAAACAAAAGTAGCGGTATGGAAAATGTGCTGGTGTTTTATTGCAAAACAAAAGTGGCTGACCCGCCAAACCGATGGCAAACTGTAAAAAACATCACTTCATTTTTTTTTTTTTTGTGGTGTACCCTTGCCATGTCTGCTTTCATGAAGTTAAAAACAATAGTCTTCTTTTGATGTTTGATGTTGCTGTCTCTTCGCTGTACTGGTTGTTATGGAAAAAAACAACGTGCTCACAACATCCCATCAGATAAGAGGAACCAAAAGCAATACGGTGCTTATGACATCACAGAGAAGGTAGCATTTGAAGGTTTAAAAACCTAAACAGTTTCTCGATTCTAAGACTGTATCGGGCCAGTAATGATCCTGTCTATTGTCCTGAGCATCTCACATGCTGGCCCCGTGCCATCGGGCAGTCCTTATCGTTGAGCCCTGTATATAATATCAGTGCATTCAATGTATTTCAAAGCACAACAAGAGCAGTGCATTGCTAAAGTAGGCTTCTTCTACATTCAGACACATTCATATGTTACGTATTGAACTGCATAACAATTAGGGATGCGACAATTATAGATTTTGGTTGTACGATTATAGGCTGAAGAATACTCATGGTATTCCGCGTGCAATGTAAATTTAAGCTTTATATTAGCTAAGTATTCAAATGAATGAATGTTGAATGTTGTTATCACCTGCATTCATACATAATCATTGTAATAATTTGTCTAACATATATTTTGTTTACATTGCTCTAAAAGCCATGCACAACCCTAAATGCTCCGGTTAGCGTGCATATTGGCATATGTTTTCAATAAGCATCAGTATGAATGTTCGCTAGTACTCGTTAACCCGATGAAAGAGTTAATTCACCTGTGTGTGTGTGTCTCAGGTACTGCAGCTGCGAGGAGTTTGCGGCCGACGCTCAGCTGGTCTTCAATAACTGCGAGCTTTTCAACGAGGACACGTCTGAGGTGGGCCAGGCCGGACATGCCATGCGCCGCTTCTTCGAGAGCCGCTGGGCGGAGTTTTACGACAACAAAGACAAATAGAAACGCTGCCGTCTGCTGTACGGGAGGACCCATTGGAAAGCCACGCCCCCTCGATGCTCATTACTACTAAAACAAACTCTGTGGAGAGCCTCTGTATGCATACACCTGTAGATATATGTATAGATCTGTTCTGTTCATTTTACAAGTATCTGTTTGGGTTGTTTCTTTATCACCTGGTGTTACGGCGTACAAACTTCTGCTCTTTAATTCAGTTCATCCGTCGCTCCTTTGGGGTACTTCTTCAGGACTTGATCGGGTCACACTTGATGTCACGTGTCGCGGACACACTACTCTTTCAGGACGTTTCAAGCATTTTACTCAAAGCCTTCTGCTCCGTAATGTATAGGTCACGGACCGCCTGTGTTCCCTTGATTTAAAAATGTAACGTAACCGTGCTTTCGAGACTAGAAGCAATTTCCTCAGTATATTTTTTATTATATGCTATATATACACACAGTTAAAGACAGAAAAAAAATAGATGGGATTATTTAATAGCAATAGACTGTAGTGAAACTGTACAGACCACGTCGTAGAGAGATGTATAGGTGACTCATGAAATGGCCAGTAAACCTTCTATATCACGAGTAACTCATCACGTCTTTTGCTTGTAGAATATTGGTCTCATCAGCTGGAGGATTGCCATTGTTTACTAGGCTTTTCCTTTCCGTCATCTTCCCGAAAACCCAGAAAATCAGTGTTTGTTCATGATGAAATCTGTGGAAGCTGGTTCTGATGTGGGAGAGAACAAGATTAGAAGGTAATTGAACCATTTTACCATGCAAGTGTGTTTCTGAAAGCTGAGAGGTTGAGAGTTTCACGTTTAAATCTATTTTCTTTTATTTAATTGTATTTGAAGAGTTCAGAGGCAAAAGCATCTAAATGCCATCAGAAATTGTGTTTTAAAATGAGCATTTTCTGTGTGTAGGTTCAGGTTTTTCACTTTTTGTGATGAAAATGTTATTTTTACTCTTAGGTAAAATAACAGTATTAAAAACAACAAAAATGCTAATTTTACATGAATTTCAGATGGAATTTCGAGGTTTTTACGTCTGAAATCTTCATTTGTAATTGCGAATGTTTGATTTCTGGATTTTTCTTGCTATCATGACACAATTTTAACCTGCTTGAGTTTATATTGCTCAATTTTGACTGAAAAGTTAACTATTGCTTGCAATTTAAACAATTTTTTGCAACTACAGTTTTATAGACTCTCCCGTTTGACGTCATTGAAAGATTTTTGACTATTTCAGAGTTTCCAGTTGACTTGTAAATTGAGATTTTTCTTGCACAATAGCTAAATCTTTGTTGTTGTTTTTTTTCTCTGAATTGTGATTCGTTCTTGCAGTTGAGTTTATAGGCTTCTAAGATGCTTAAGTTTAACATATTTCTTGCAGTTCCTGAAAATAAAAGTCTGAATCATACAAACATACAATTCTGAGAGTAAAAACCACTTGATAATTCGCAATTGCCTTTTAAATGCTTTTCTTTGCCATATCCGAATCGATTCCACAGAGATCTGACGTAACGCCAACAACAGGATTGTTTTAACTTTTGCAACAGAAGGCCGGTTTTAACTTTCTTGTTTTTAAGCTCTGCTAGCTTAGATGGCCGTCTTCAAAGCTTTCGCTTGGTGTATGACTGTTGTCTGTGGGGGAAACTAAACTTTAGACCGTATTGATATTAAAATGCAAAGGGTATATTCGTTTTATGGCGGTGTAGGTTTGTTTAGCGACACTTATTCACTGGAACAATATCTTCGCTGTCTCTTCAGTACGATTAATCAGGTTTGCTCTTGGTTTTCATGACATGGCTTTCTGAAACCCTTACATCCTCAAATGTTTCTGTGTTTTAATGAATACGTTTGTGTTTGAACCTGGACCAATTCTCTCAAAAGGACTTTATTTTTACACTTGTATGCTTCGTCTAATAAAAATGCCTTTCATCATTACTAGTTTAACGGAGAAATCTGAACATTTGTATCATCGTTCCCCTTTACATGTTCGCAGTTGTTTTTCGATCAACAGCAGGATCCTATAGCACTGAGTAGAGGAGCACACATTCATTCACGTTCATGTTTCCATACACAGTAAGTAGTGTCATTCACTCTGTTCCTCGTCAATCTAAAGGGACATATTTGCTTTATTATTTTTTTTGTTCAGAAAGAAAAACCTGAAGACAGTACTAGAACATTCAACCAAATGTGGTGTTTAGTGAATTTTTAATAATGTACAGTTTTTGTGACTTTAAATTTGTTCCTTTCTATATTTTTAGGACCAATATATCGTTTTTAAGAGGCGACATTAAATGACCATGTTGTTTCAAGGTAATGTAACACACGTGCATCTGTAGAATGTACTGTAAGCGGAAATAAAACCACATCTAGTAGACGAAAACCTGGCCTCTTTAATGATCATCATCAACTGTTCTGTGTATTTAATATGACACCAGCATGTGCTAAACATATCAGCACGGCTACAGATGTTCAACAACTGATGAATAAAAGGCTTGGTATCAATTCAATTAAATAAAAGCTAAAAAAACCTTGAGTTTTCTGGGGGTTTTTTTATAAGAGCATTTTGAAATGCTACTCGTGTTGACGACAGATTTCTAAAGCATTGCCATTAATAACATGGGAAGATGTTGGCCACTTAAAGAGAATGTTAAAAGCAACCTTAAAACCAAAACAATAATAACAATATGAAATGATTATTATCCGGCAGCTAGCTCTCTGCAACTCTCACATGGTCGCCCACTCAAGCTAAGCAAGGCTGCGCCCGGTCAGTACCTGGATGGGAAACCACATGGGAAAGCTAGGTTGCTGCCGGAAGTGATGTTAGTGAGACCAGCAGGTTGAGACCAACCTGCGGTCTATGTGGGTCTTAATGCCCCAGTATAGTGACGGTGACTCTATACTGCTCAGTGAGCGCCGTCTTTCGGATGAGACTTTAAACCTCCTGAGGTCCTGACTCTCTGTGGTCGTTAAAAATCCCAGGATGTCCTTCGAAAAAGAGTAGGGGTTTCACCCCGGCATCCTGGCCAAATTTGCCTGTCCATCATGGCCTCCTAACCATTCCCATATCATAATTGATATGGTTTAGATATTGATATTGATTCATCACTCTGTCTCCTCTCCACCAATCAGCTGATGTGTGGTTCGAAGTCTGGCGCAAAATGCCTGCCGTCTCATCATCCAGGTGGATCATGCTGCATATTGGTGGTGGATGAAGAGATTCTCCCCTATATGTAAAGCGCTTTGAGTGCCCAGAAAAGCGCTATATAAATGTAAGGATTTATTATTATTATAATGAGACCGATTGAAGATTAGTTCATTGTTTATCTGGCTCTCCAGGCTTTTCAGGTTAAGTTAGCTCATCTCTCCGATCATCTCTACAGTCCTCAGGTAATTCACTGGTTATTTTTTTGACATTTCATCTTTATTAATTACAGTTATGTGGGCTGTGCTGGTGTTTTGTCAATTTGTCGTACGTTGTCAGATTATCCTACCTCCCATTGTGAAAAATTGGCAAAAAAAAATGCAGATACGCTTTTCTAAAAGGACATTGGGAACGGGATGTCTATTGTTTGACTACAGGAATGCAGATCTCTTCTTCACTATAGCAAAAATGTTCATTCAGGTTACGACGCTACGAGCACATGAAGCACTTGCCAATTTATTTATTCATTTTATTTAAAGTTATCATTTAGATAACTTGAAGCAGCATTTATGTTTTTTAACAGCAATAAAAAAAACGATGCTTAGTTCCAGTGGATTAAATTGCATTGGGGGATGGGGTGCTTACCAGAGGTGAGGGGGCACAGTGGCCAGGCGCTCTGGGGCCTCCCGTGGTGGAGAATCTGGCGTTATGATTGACCGGATCGCCTGTTAATCCAGAGTTCTTGCACCATTTTAAAAGTAAAATTTTATGCTTTTTAAGATCTCAACAAATATAATTTAAGACCTAAATATTTGATCATTTCTTTGGAATAGGCTACTCATTTTAATGTTCTCGTCACAGTATGGATAACCCAAGCACCTGCCTTTTCGGGTGTCTGGTGGTGAAATGAAACTGTTATAGCTGACTGTGAGGGGGCGTCTGAACTAGAGCTGTAATCGGGCTATAAAAGTTAGGCCCGAGAGCCCGAACCCGACAAGTACATTTTGACTGACAGCTTTTTAAAAGCCCGAACCAGTTTATAGCCAACATTATCCAAATGTGCACACAGCTTTTTTTTTTTTCATGAATGAGTCATTTATATGCATTAATAGCACTTTAGCAATGAGACCAGCAGCGTGTAAGTACATTTAGACTTGTTTTCAGTGTTTGTGTATGGCTTTACCGTAATACGCAGTGTATGAGCGACCACCAAAATACCTTTTTTTTACACATTGCCTCTTTGCCACGTCATTAAATTTACACTTTTCCGTCTTTGCATTTTGAACCCCACATCAACAACCGAGTAATGACAGCACGCAGGTGCAGACCGCCGTAAGCGTCTGTAGCCAAACTACCGTAATAAGCTAATAAATCACGGAGACTGTCATTTCTCTCATGTTTCAAACATACTAAATTAGTCAACTATTAGATGTTTTACGGTGGACCAATGTGCTTCCCTATCATCATTGAGCACACCAGCTCAAAATGTAATACCTACACCCACTTTACGGTGAAATTTAAGACAATTTAAGAACTTAATTTCCTGGATTTTAGTTTAAGACTTTTTAAGGACCCGCAGGAATCTGTAATCAAACTGTCAGCAACGACGGGTCAACTGAGCTATTGTTTTACATTCTCAGGCATTGCATAATGGCACCAGAGAAGACACCAACTAGCTGTCAAATAATATTGTATCACATGCTTGCCAGTACCAATTTATAAAAAAAAAATTGATCTCTTGAGCGTTAAAAGATGCTGGATCTGTGGACGTTGCAAGTTTTTCTTTTTTTTTGCACAGACCAAATGTGTTAAAGAATATGATCGCGAACTGAAGAGCTGTGTTATCTAAAAGAAAAAGAGCATGTTGTCTGCACAGATTGAGCCCTACCTGTGGACACTCCTGCACCTAAATAAGCCGCGCAATCATATGAGGGGCCGTGTACTTCTGAGTCTTCTAATGAGGCGGATCAGAACAGGACCGAAAATATTACTTTAAAATAATCGAAATAAAATTGTAAGTTGTCCTCAAACAGAGTACTAATAATAAAAACATGCGCTTCATGACCACTCTGATATTCTGAGAGGGGACTATTTTAAAGGGCACCTATGGTGAAAAAACTTTTCAAGCTGTTTGGACAGACATATGTGTAGGTATAGTGGGTCACCAACCCTGTTCTTGGAGAGCTACCTTCCTGCAGAATTCAGTCCCAACCCTGATCAAACACACCTGAACCAATTAATAGTAGCTAAAGCAGCACTTGATAATTACAAACAGGTGTGTTTGGTCAGGGTTGCAACTAAAATCAGCAGGAAGGTAGCTCTCCAGGAACAGGGTTGGTGACCCCTGGTATAGACCGTTATGTTATGGGTGATTTAAACGCACTCATTCCTTTTTTTTTTCTCTCTCAATTTAACAGCGTAAAAACAGACCAACTGGAGCTGTTTTGAGACCGACCGCAACTTAACGTAGGAGTGCGGTCCCCCTGCCCACCAAATAACAAAATACAAAACAGTGAGGTACTGTGGTAATACCACAAACCTAATCAAACACCTACATTTAAATCACAAGACAGAATATGACTACGTTAGGACTAGGCGATCAGAAGAGGAGGAAAGGAGAGGCACAGGTGCTACTAGTGCAAGACAAACATCACTTTCAGAGTCCTTAGCAGGCAGGCACTATCCAGGTACAGAGGGAGAAAATGTGGCGATGTGGCTGTATTTTGGGGTTTTGGGTTTTTGTGACAATGATAAAATAAAAGAAAAAGGGGAAAATCTTCGTAGGGACCGGATTAACATGTCACTTTTGTTTTATTGTTTTATGTTCAGAAGTTCAGGCAGATGTTTTAAGATATACATGCTCAGATGCTGTCAATAAAGATGTAAGTTTTTTTTTTGTATGATAATTCATTCACACTTTACAATAAGGTTCATTAATGATAGGTAATGCATTTACTAACATGAACAAACAATGAACAATACATTTACTACAGTATTTATTAGGGATGTAACGGTATCAGAATTTCACGGTACGGTAATACCTCGGTATGAATGTCACGGTACGGTATTTATTGAATCATTTACAGGAAAAAACTAAACTTATGAAAATACTCCAAAAAAGTGCCAAAAGTGTCAACGACATACAAATTAGCCATCTATCTGTAAGCTTTGAAACAGGAACTTCAATTTTAATAACAAAAAATTATTAAACCATGTAAAAAAATACATTTTCAATTTAGTATTGTTGAAAACTCATCACATTCAACATTTAATCACTCACTCACTTAGATAGAGATGGGCTTTAAGGAAAATGATCATATAAATATAATCTGGTAAAAGCTGGTATCTCTGGGTATTTACAATGTCCCCTGCAACAGAAAAAAAACCCCTCTCATTTGGGACTGAGGTTTCTGGGACAGAGAGATATGACTTGGCCCAGGTTGACAGCAGTGGGGAACGTTGTGCATTGTCTTTCCCCCACTTGAGGGGACAAGCCATAAGTAAGATAGAGGTCTCTTTGCGGTACAAGTCAATGTCTGCATCAATCTGAACAGTGTGCTGTGTTTCTGCAGTCCCCATGACTTTTTTTTACGACTGTATTCCCCAACTTGCAGGCACGTGCACACATAGGGCTCAACCTGTGCAGTGCACATGTCCTTTTTAGTCTTGGATAGAAAGTGTCCTTCCAAAATGATCAAAAGTGCCCCCGCGACGCGACACATCCTCCCTTGCCCTTCAGTAGGCGCGCGACAACACGCTCTTGAGTATGCGCGCTCAACCCCCCCTCCTCGCTTTACATTACGCGCTCGACAACACAGCTGATCAGAACGCGCGCGACAACACAGCTATTCAATACGCGCGCGGCAACAACACCCGCTTAGGTTCGATCATTTACAGCTCTTTTTTTATCCCCGCTTCTTGCAGCACACTCCATTTCCGCATTACTGGATCTGTAGCGACATTAGACCGCAAGGCATGATGGCCAAGCCTGGGCTGATGGGAATTGTAGTTTCCAGTACCTCCCGTTCGCTTCATTCGCCTGAGGAAATTTTCTCAGAAGACCTATAGTTTTACCGAGTCATACGACCACGGTAATATCGAAAAAAATTAATATTGCGGTATGACGGTATTTACAATACTGTTACATCCCTAGTATTTATTCATGTTAATAAACGTTAGTTAATGAAAATACAGTAGTTCATTGTTAGTTCATGTTAACTCATGGTGCATTAACTAATGTTAACAAGCATGGACTTGGATGTTAATAATGCATTAGTAAATGTTCAATTATGATTAATAAATGCTGTACATGTGTTGTTCTTGATTAGTAAATGCATTAACTAATGAACCTTATTGTAAAGTGTTACCGATAATTCATCAATAAA